TCCCCAAAGGGAAATGCACTTAAATCAGTGACAAAAGCCATTTTTATTCATTCATTTTCTTTTGGCCTTAGTCCCTTTATTAATCTGGGGTCGCCACAGCGGAATGAACCGCCAACTTATGCAGTATATGTTATACACAGTGGATGCCCTTCCAGCTGCAATCCATCACAGTGAAACACCCTTACACTCCTATTCACACACATACACAATGGACAATTTAGCTTACCCAAATCACCTACCACATGTCTTTGGACATTTGGGGTAAACCAGAGCACTCGTAGGAAACCAACATGAACATGGGGAGAACATGCAAACTCCACACAGAAATGCTAACTGACCCAGCCGAGGCTCGAACCAATGACCTTCTTGCTGTGAGGCGATTGTGCTACCCAGTGTGCTACCGTGACGCCCCAAAAGCTATTTTTGATTGTCTTTAAATGTGTAGATTTTAGATTAAGAGAAGTTTCTCTTAAAGAACTATCTGACTGAGTTCTGGATGAGACTGGCGTACCTTCCATTTCGGGTCATCATGACAGGCACAAAATGTTGTATAAATGAGTGCGGGTCAGACGTCCTTGACTGCCGAGAAACACTCCAGGAATCTGGGATCAACTTTCAGCCACATGCAGTCGTCTTGCACAGGGAGACATGGATGGAGTGACTTTATAGACTCCATCACACATGTAGGTCACTCATGCCTGAGAAAACACGTTAGTTTAAATAAGAGATAATATTTATTCTTTTTCAAGCATTTCTCAAGTGATGTTTAATCACTTGAGAAATTTCTTAAGTGATGTTTTAAGGAAATTTCACAGTATTTCCTGTAATGTTTTTTTTCTACTGGTAAAAGTCTTATTTGTTTTATTCCAGCTAGAATAAAAGCAGTTTTTATTATAAAAAAACAAAAAACATTTTAAGGTGAATATCATTAGACCCCTTAAGCAATATATCATTTTTATCAATGGAACAAACCATTGTTATACATTCATTCATTCCTTTTCTTTTCGGCTTAGACCTTTTATTAATCTGGGGTTGCCACAGAGAAATGAACCAACAACTTATACAGTATTTGTTTTACGCAGCGCATGCCCTTCCAGCCGCAACCCATCACTGGGAAACATCGATACACACTCATTCATGTACTACGATAAATTTTAGAATACTCAATTCACCTGTACCACGTCTTTGGCATGTGTGGAAACCAGAGCACCCGGAGGAAACCCACGCGCACATGTGGGTGAACATGGAAACTCTAGAAATGCCAACTGACCCAGCTGAGGCTCGAACCAGCGACCTTCTTGCTGTGAGGCGAGCATGCTACCATTGTTATACCACCATTGTTATACAATGACTTGCCCAATGACACAACTTGCCTATATAATATAATTAACCTAGATAAGCTTTTAAATTGCACTTTAGCTAAAAACTGGTAAAAAATATCTAGTAAAATAGTTTGTACTGTTATCATGGCAAAGATAAAATACATCAGTTATCAGAAATTAATGTTTAAAAATGTCTTACTTCTATATATATATATATATATACATTTGTTCATTTAATTAATAACTTTTGTGTAATCAGTATATAGGCAATGCCAGTTACAGATGTGATATTTGCAATAAAACTAACACATAAATTGACATAGAATCAAATAGAAGAATTTGCCATTCGTTAAAAAAAAAAAAAAAACTAAAATAGCCTACTGAGACATTTCTCAAATGATAATCTCTTACAGTAAAGTTTGTAGCAAAGTACTGTAGCAGTGGAAGAATATTGTGGCTGCTATGATACTTATTTTTTTCTAAATAGATCAGAGTTTTAGAATATATTCTGCAAATAGATCAGAGTTTTAGAATATATTCTGCAAATAGATCAGAGTTTTAGAATATATTCTGCTCAATGTAAGTTAACTAACATGTTAATTAGCAGTAAAACATTTTAATTTACCAACCTTTGTAAAACATATTGGAAGGCTAACCGCTAACAGCTAAACCAAACAAACGCGCTTCTTTTGATTCTTTTAATCAGGTTTTGAAATCATACAGATTTCTCCACATTTAAAATCAATGAAATGTTAAACAAAGTAACTTTAAATTACCACATTCGGGCCCACTTTTAACTCTTACGTTCGCGGTTTGTTGCTTTCCCTCCAAAAGATGTCACTTCCTGAAGTATGATGTCATTAGACGGGCTTTTTCTCAATGAAAAATACTGCACCTTTTAGAATTATTCATGGTACATACCAGTCAATTCTCTCTAAGTAAGATATATAAACAATATATTGATAAATTGTTGATTTTGTAAGCACTATTCTGAGTCCCTATTTCACTTATTTGGGCAATGCAGTAATTCTAATATTGGAAAAAATGTTTCTCTTTTTGTAATTGAGAAAGTTGATAAAGACTTTTCTTTACTGTGTGAAAATGTTTTGTTTGTTACAAAACAGGAGCTATACATAAAAGGAAAACATATTGTCTTATTCTTCTTATCTTATTAACAAAATGTTACATACATAAATAAAAACCAAAAACCTTTTTAAAAAATATTTTTATAAAACTGTTTCTAACTCTTTTACAAAAAAAAGCTCTAAAAACAAGTGAAATTTGTAAATTATATAATCTTTTTCTTTAATGTGTAATGTATACTCTTACTGTTTGTTGTATACTCTATCTTTTTGTCTTTCCATTTTCTTTAAAATGTACTCTGATTTAATGTATTCTCATTTTTCGCATAATAAAAAAATATAGTTATATACTGCACTTTTAACAAAATAAGAGCAGTAAATGTTAAGTTATATGCTCTATCTGGCTCCAAAGTATGTGAATTGTGTACAATTTGAGACTTTTATAAAGTGATGTATTTATTATAAAAAAAATTTAAGCATCAAAATAAACAAAGCAATATTTTTACCTGCCATTTATTATAATTTCCAGTTTTTACTAAACACATTTTTATGACTAAGATGTAGGCATCTAGTCAGGCATATTTTAAACAAAAATCATGACAATTAGAAAGCTCTATAAGCATAATAGCAGAGTACTTAATTGCCATTTACATTTTTAAAAGCCTAAACCATATATATTTGCCTCTAGCCACCATCCTTTAGACCACACTAAAAACCACTTTTACTCATTTGTCAACTAGAAGTATTTAATCCTTCAAAATATTTTTGGTCAGGGTAATGTCAACGGAACTTTATTTGATCCATGTTCAGATATTTTACTTTCAAACTTTTCTTACTCTAACAAAAATATCTAAATGAACAGAAATGCCCAAAGTAAAAAAAAAAATTAAATAAAAATTGGACAAATTTTAACCTTTGATTTGGCCCACCATCCTATTTGAGAGGAGAGTGAGTATGAGATGGCGATTGGGGCCCCAGCAAACAATTTTGTGTTTAACAAGTCTAATAGACATCCAAGCGTAGACAGCTTGGCTAAAACAAGGCTAAATTTGGGCTGTCAGTGAAAATCGAATAGACATAATAATAGGCCAAAACTAGACTAGTCGTCAGATACACAGATTAGACAGAGTTTATAAGTGTAGTCATTCATTTCTGTTTATTTGATGACTAGTCTAGTTTTGGCCTATTCTTAGACTCATTCTTACTCTTTTGGCCAAATCTCTATTAGATTTTCACTGACAGCTCAAATTTAGCCTTGTTTGAGGCAAGATGACTGTGTTTAGACATGTATTGGATATCTATTAGATACTTTTGAAAACACAAAATGCATTTCTAATTTGATGTAACATTTCTTTGTTTGTTTTATTGTTGAGCTACAAAAAAAGCTGACTGGAATTAAATGTTTCAACTAAATGTAAATGAATCTGTTCTTTTATGTAAATATGATCACTTGACGGACTGGCAAGCAAATCAAGGCAAAAACTAGCGTAATTCTGTTATAAGTTACATTTTGTTTTTACTGTCGTAAGTTCACAATGTAAATAATCCTGCATTAGTTAATATAAAGCAATGGTTTCTAGTAATTTTTAAGCATTATTAAATACATTAGGAAATTACCCATAACAAATTACCCTACCTAAATTTTCCTTCGGCCCTCTATTCTCAATCAAGTTGGGTTTCTGGTTCTTGATAAGTTTGAGCACCCCTGTATTAGACACTTTATTTGAATGTAATATGCTTTTGTGTGTGTGAAATTAATTCTGTAAATTAAATTTGATACAGTCTTCAACATACCTTTGCCCCCTATTCAACTTGTTAACACTTCCATCAGATGTGGTGTGAACAAATATCAAAACTTGACCAAATCAGGAAATATTTTCACCAGGATCTGTCACTGTTCATCCAGTTCACAAAATAGTGATTTAAAAAAGATGCTTTAGTGTTCTAATGGGTTTTATGATAGATACTTCAAGACTGTAAAAACATATTTCACTAAAGTGATGGCCAACACTGTATTAAAGTTTGAGTCACAATAGACACACAAAGAAAGTCAAAACATTTACTATTTTCTTTTTTAAATAACCAAACTGTCATTAGCTACAGGCCCCAGCACTGGTTTCCTTTTCCTCAATGGGTTCTCTCTCAAAGCACAACTGTATTTCCCCACTTTACTTCTATGAAGTTCAATTACACCATCAGAGACACCTAAACCCAACACTACGGTACTCTGAGTGATGTGTAATGCGACTCCAACCCTTCTTTCCATTAGAGCCTGTTGTGAGACAAAACCATAACATAAACTCAGCATCATCATAATCATCCTCATAAAACATTCACACCACATGAAGCCACGAAAAGGCCATCGTCCATTGGCCAGGCAGCAGTCAGCAGAGAACAGGAGACGTCTTTCCATTGGCTGCTTCTTAACGGTAGCATCTCGACTGGAAGCAAGAGTTCCTGTATCGACCCAGAGTCGTCCTCACCTCTGGCAGGATCAGGGGGATTTTTTTTTAGGTATCGGTAATACGATATGATGAAAAGACTTACCCACAAGCCTTCAGTACTAAACACCAGCAGACAGTGGTTCTCGTGAGCACATTGTTATAAAATGCTTTAATAAATAGTTTGATTTATTTCTAAGAACAAACATAAATTCCACTAAATGAACTTTTTTCAGAGCAATTCTTCTGTACAAAAAAATTACATCTTTAAAAAAGAAATAAAACAAAACAAAGAAAATTCTCCTCTCCAGCTCCACTCAGTTTCCCTTCCATAACGGACTTAACATTGAGCTTAATTTCTACTAGTTTGCGTTAACCTGATTTTTGAACCAATCAAAACAGTTTGAACTTTTAGCATCTTCCTAGGAGTCTTATATTGAACATCATGATGAACAAAATCAAATCATAGCCAGCCGTTTCAGAGATAATCCACTTCTTTGAACTGGTACCTCGAGTACAAATGCTTGACAACATAATTGTTCCCTTCATGAAAGTTTCGATCCAAACAAACACAAACAAGCAAACAGAAAGCATTTGGAAGTCATCATTTTGACATATCAGCATCTTTACAAGCAACAAGCATGAACCGGCAGGTCTCGGTTTTATGATCAGCAACAGGAGGACTGGTAAGGGAAGGGATTGTGGGTCTTCAAGGAGGCGAACACACACGCCACAATACAGCACACGATCGTATAGGTGTCTAGTGGAAAAACAAAAATAAAACAACAACATAATAGGATGATCTCTGATTATATTTCTGCTCTGACTGCGGGACGCTGTATATCTTACAAAACCTGCCATGACAACTGGCATAAATAAAAAGGAATGGTGGAAAATAAAAATAAAAAACAATAATAATCATAATATTTAAATCATAATAATAATAATTATAATAATAAAAAAAGTGACTTAAGTTACTAAATTCAAATATACACAGCGACTCCTTTATTATTTACACGTATTTACAGATCTCGTCTTTAAACAAATACCTTGATGGTTATATGGGAGCTGCTTTTGGGACCAGCCTCTCCACCTATTTTTTGTGTGTGTGCGTGTGTGTGTTTTTCGTGATCTACCGGGGCTGGAGACCCTGAAACCGAGGGGCTTGTCTGAAGGCACTTGCGAACGACTCAAAATACTGCAATCCGTTTGTTTAAAGAGCGTTCAGCCAAGTCGGCAGAAAAAAAAACAAGGCCACTTTATAGGCACTCTAGCCCTCCTCGTGAACGTCGAGCTCTGTAAGGCAGGCGCGGAAGGAGAACAGATGAACGCTTGTCCCCACGTGGTCTGCACCGAAGTTGGGCCACTCGAAACGAAATCAAAAGCACAAATGTTTGTAAACAACAACATAAAATTCGCAAGTTCCTTAGTCTTGCTTCCATTCCAGCAGTTTAGTTTTTTTTTCTTCCCGAAAACAAAAACGAGGCTTCTCGATGCCTCCTTATAAACAAATACAGTCTGCTTCCTCTGTACATAAAAAAAAGGGAAAGAAATTTGCCACTTTTTCAGCTTCAAAACGCTCCAAAGAGTCAAAAATAAAACAACACATGGGGGAAAAAAAACAAACTCAGTCTTGGTTTCTGAGATGGCCTTGGTCTCCTCGTCCTGCTCATCGGAGCTCATACGCAGTGTTCTTTGTGCTCTTGGCCGGCGGTGGCATTATTGACATTTTTACAGTTGTTGTCCTTTGGGCTGAAGCCTGTCCAGTAGGCTGCTTTGAGTGAAGGGCTACTGCTGCCGCTGGTGCTCCTCGTGGTGCAGATCAGCCCATTCTTGGTCCGCGCTGCAGATTTAGAGTACTTTTGGACGGGATGCTTGCCTCCTTCCGTCCCGCACCATTCTTCCACCAGCTCCAGCTCATCCTCCTCCATGTCCTCCTCGTCGTCCCCGCTGTTGCAGGTTCGGTCTGGGGAGCCCATGAGTTTGGTGCGCTCAAACTGCGCGTCCCGGTTGTCCTTGTGCTGCGGCCGCGTCACAGGCCTCAGCGGTTCCCACTGGTTGTTGACACTCTCCTCCACTGGAACGCGCTCACATCTCTCGCGCTCTTTTCTCCGCTTGCGGGTCCACCATACACAGACGATGACGCAGAAGACCCAGAGGACGCATAAGACGACGCACAACACAGGTACCAGGTAATCTATATGGAAAGAGAGAGTACAGTCAGGAACAAATTCCACCTTTTAAATAAAGAGCCAATGGTTAATTGACCCTTTTCACATGGGATCTGGGTTTCTCAACAGGGGAAGGCATCATAGGTATACTTGGAGCGAAGTGAATGGAAGAATACAACAAATTCAAATTCATTATTTCATTTGCTGAAATAAAATAAAAAAACTTCCCAATGAAAAAAAAAATTTTGGGAGACTGATGACGGCAGCCAGAGGAGAGAATAACATCAAATTTTCTTTCAGCCCCATAGACGCTGCATTAGAAACACCTTGTATGGTCACCAAATTTTTTTAAGCTCCGTTTGCTGCAGAATTTGCTGGGTATTTTGGCGTAAAGGCCCAGTAACAAAGGAACATAATGTGCTCGCGATTTGTCAATGTTTGACTCCTCTTAACTGAACAAATGGCGCCATTATAATCGTGAACACCAATGTGCAAAACACCAGGGGCCTCATGTATCAATGCTGCGTACGCACAAAAACTTTGCGTACGCCAGATTTCACGCTCAGAATCGCTCACGTTTGGATTTACTAACAATGAACTGAACGTGGGAATGTGCGCAGCTTCACGGCAGCTTTCTGGCTGGCGTACGCACATTTTTTGTGCGTGTCTGTTTTATTTCCATTGGCGACTCCTAGAGGCAGGTGTGTTAAATTCCTCTCTACAAAGTGTCTGAGCCTTGCAATGGCAGCTGTATGAGACGGGTTCATCTAGTAGGTATGTAAGGTTTCCATACCATACATTTGACCAGCCAAACATTAAAGCACAATTTGCAGCGGTCGCCTGTTTTCCCAATGTAATCTGAGCTATCTACTGCACGCACATTGCTATAAAGACACTATCTGAAGATGAATTTGCATGCGTGAATCAGAAACATTTCCATTCAATAAATGTGCAAATAAAATATGATGCACAAACTTATTGATGATTCCTACTTGTCTTTCTCGTGATAAATAGTGGGCAAAATCTGATATGTAGCGGGAAATAAAGAAGAAAGAGTTCATCAGACGCTAGATTGGAGCCGAGTTCATGCTTGAACGTGTCAATACATGATCACGTGCATCTTACGAGGTGCGCCACTGAGACTGCTAAGAGTACTGCAACATTTTACAGATATAAACCACACTATTTCTATTTTTAATGCACTCAGTGCAATGTTCAGACCCAACTGTGTTAAGCGCATCAGCTAAACTCTCCCACTCTATTTTTTTCTTTTGTTGTTAATTCCGGAGAACAAACTTGCAAATAACACCGCTTTTCTCCGGTCTACTTCCGAAAGCAGCACCTCCATTTCACATTCTGTTCAAAGTTTCTCTTTTTGCTTGATTTTGCCATTGCTTTTTTCGTTGGGTTTTCCATTAGCATAGTCATTAGCATATTCATACGAGGGAGGAGGCAGGGAGGGGTTTTGTGCTCGTGCATGTTGCGCTCAGATTCACGTTCATTCAGATGTACAAAAGAATATGCGTGAGATTCGGCGTACACAGTGTTTCATACATCTGAATTTTTTCCTGCGTACGCACATTTACAGCTTTGTGCGTACGCAATGTTTAAGTAAGATTTCGTACATGAGGTTTAAGTAAGTCTTCGTACATGAGGCCCCAGGTGTAAGTGTCATTTTTAAAAGAGATACCTAATGCTTGTTATTTGTTTTGATCCAAGTTTATCTGTCTGCAGACTGCAAGACAGGGGCGTAACTTGTAGTAGGTTAGAGCCGTAACTTGCATTTATCAAGATCCTATTGAAGCATGCGAGATGTCACAAAGAGATGTTGTTGGCAAGATGGTAGAAGTTATCAGGGAACATTTTCACCAAATGTTTGAGTTTCCTCCAAATTCATCCACAACCTATTAATTTAACATATGGTTAAATTCATTCATTTAGCAACTCCGCCATGCAACTCGTTTTGTTATGACAGTTAGCCTACTCTAAAACCCGCAGCTGTATGTTATTAATGATGATGATGGTTGGGTTTAGGTTTGGGGAAGGTATAGACAATAATATCTATAATGTTTGGATTTAGGGTAGTGGTAGGTGTAGACGTTAATAACGATGGTGGTTGGGTTTAGGTTTGGAGAAGGTATAGACAATAATATCTATAATGTTTGGGTTTAGGGTAGTGGTAAGTGTAAAAGTTAATGATGATGGTTGGGTTTAGGTTTGGGGAAGGTATAGACATGAATAACTATAATGGTTGGGTTTAGGGTAGTGCTAGGTGTAAAAGTTAATGATGATGGTTGGGTTTAGGGTTGTGGTAGGTATAGACATTAATGACTATGGTGGTTGGGTTTAGGTTTGGTGAAGGTATAGATGTTAATAACTGTAATGGTTGGGTTTAGGGTAGTGGTAGGTGTAAAAGTTTATGATGATGGTTGGGTTTAGGTATGGTGAAGGTGTAGACGTTAATATCAATGATGGTTGGGTTAACAGCTGTAGTACGTTTAAACCAGGGCAGTCCAAACTTAGTCCTGGAGGGCCGGTGTCCTGCATAGTTTAGCTTTAACTTCCTTCAATATCTGCGTGAAAGTTTCAAGTATACATAGAAAGAGCTTAAATAGCTGGTTTAGGTGTGTCTAATTGGGGTTGGAACTAAACTTTGCAGGAAACTGGCCTTTCAGTATCGAGTATGCACTCCTGGTTTAGACGTTAATAACTGTGACGGTTGGGTTTAGGTGTGGAGTTGGTGTAGACGTAAAAAACTGATCAGCACCATATTGCCGACAACATAGTTTTGACATGTGGGTCTCCACAACTTCAAGTTATGCCTCTACTACAAGTTACCCCTCTTCAAGTTACGCCCCGGTCTTGCAGTGTGCAAGCAGACCATACTCTTTTGCTGCCCCGTATCAAAACTTCAATCGTTTGGCACTTTTGTTCACGGGCCTGGAGCTGCTGAAGTTACAGTAAACACCACTTGTGCAAAACAGTTGAGGTGATCCCAGTTTCACTTTCATTCAATGAAAAAGATGATGTATCAAGGCAAGATGAATGTGGAGCTGCTTTTTTCATTGGTGTCTGAACACAGAGCAAATAGGATATTGCGGTAAGTTTACTTTTACATTTCTCTCATGACTTGCAAGATTATAAAGCACCATCTAACGTCAGGGGGTAATTTTGCACATTTACTCTGCTCAATGCAGTTAAAAATTGCCTGGGTTTGAATGTAGAACAACATCTCGTAAAATGCTGACAACCAACAAACATTGAAAAAAAGCGACACCCGGTGTGCACAAGCCTTGAACAACAACATTTGTGAGACACTTGTCAGATTCCATTGATTTTACATATGAAAGTTAACAGTAACCTTTGTGAATAACTTGAGGACAACAGTTATATCCAATGTAGTCGGTGCTCAGTTACAAATACTTTAAAACCTATTTAGAATTCCCTTAATCCAAAAAAAATAAAGTGTGAGCCATCTTAAATGCATTGCTGTGCTGTGGCAGAGGACTGTGGAGGAGCTGAATGACTGTCACACAGGTTTATGGCCTCCTGCCCACAACTGCTGCATCCTCTGAGCCACTCAGTCCCTTCCTTCTGTGACTCACAAAGACAATTAAGCTGCACTAATTGCTGGAAACAGGGAATTGACACTGGGTCGGGGGATGAGGGCTGGTTTAGCCTTGAGGCCAGTTGGCTCTACTCACCCACTGGCTGAGACGTGACCGGCATCTCCACTTTGACCTCGATGACGGCAAGCATGACGGTGCTGTTGTGCCGCTTGGACAGTGTGCTGACGATGGTACTCGCAGCCTCCTGGATTTGACTGTGACTGGGCTGCTCATCCTGCTGGAACGACTACAGGAGAACAAAAAAATAATATGGAGGGTTTATAAACATCAGACTGCACTGCAAAAACATGTAGATAAATGTTGAAAAACCTTTTAACTAAAGCGGTTGACTCAAATCAAAAAGTCGGTTGACTCAATTATTTCAACATGCAAAAACCTGCAGTGTTCAAAGTTCCTGCCTACAGGTTCCATTTTAATGAGTCAGGCCAGTTAAACACGGGCCTTCGCTCAGTGACTTGTTATAACACCGCAGGGATTTAGTGTAATCTGACCGAGTATAAAGCATGCATTTGGAGATAACCGCTATTTGTAAGTAACTTCCGTGAGGCAGAATGTTTCACTGAACGGAGGAAACGTGGCTTCAAATTACACTACACTATCCTGGCAGCTCAAAGGTATTCATTTTCATATTGATGCACAAGCATGAGCTTTTTGTTAATTCACTGAATATTTGTTAAAGACAGCTTTTTTACAATAAAGACAAAAGTGGTAATCCTAAGGCTTTGTGTAAGATGATGTGTGTGCAGCTGGAGGAAATGCTGCAATGCAGTACGACCCAATGCTGGTCACTCAACTGAATCTCATTACACCATAATGGGTTGGTTTGAAGAGCGGGCCAGTTGGCATTGCTCTGGGCGTCCGGGCATTTCGAGGAACCGCACTTGATTCGAGGAGGAAATCTAATTTGCATCCATTAACAGATTTTTACAATGAGTACTGTATCTTAAGACCCCCGTGGTTCTGACTTTGAATTTTAATAGATCTTAAGGGGCCAAAAACAATGCTAAGTGAATGGTACAGAGTTATGAATGGATAGCTGACAAATAGGATGTAAAAAAAATTTTTAAAAAGAGGATAATTTTTTTTGGTAAAACAATTTTTGAAGTTAAAAAAAATAAATAAAAAAAAAGACTTATGCAGTTTCAAGCCTAAATATTGAAAAAAATAAAGGGGTCACTAATGTTTCAATTCTTTCAGTTTTTGGTTTTACATAATTACTGAACTATTCCTTAAACAACTTGATGTGGTGTAGCAAAAATGAAGAAAAACAACTCTTAATAATATACAAATAGCATAAGTGTGATTTATCTTCAATGCTGGACACTTACCTTCATAAAGTGCTATTTATGTCATATAAAATTATGAATTATATCATTTTCCCCTACATAATTTGTGAAACCTGGCACCACACCAAAGGAAAAACAAAAAACTGAATTTATAGTGGCTCCAAAAAAAAATTCTGAACAAACACTTAGCAGGTACATGTCATGGGCTTCACAGGGGGTCTCAGTCACATGATCTTAAATGGGGTCCTTCAACTAATTAAATTTGAGCGGAATTGACTTTAATTATTGAATTGGTTTAAAATGAGCATAAATGGTCACACCGGATCACATGGTCTTCAGTGACTAAATTAATCAAGGTCCTTTGCTTTCAGAAATATATGCATAACAAAAATATGGCCCGAACTATATTAATTAGGGATTTGACGAATTTATTTTTAAACTATAAGAGTTGTACTTTATTGAACTACACTTATCCACAGCATACTGTAGTTTGTGATTTGGCTGGAAAATGTAAAAAAAAACACAAAAAATTATTAGAAGTCCATGGAATACAAATAAATGTTTAACCATTTACTGAACTTTAAATAATGACTGCACTAATTCTCTTCATTTTTGTCATACATGACAGTGAAAAATGCAACATCATAGGGCTGGGCTGATAAATGTTACATTTTATCGTGATTCGATATTATTTCAATAACAATGATAAGCTCTGGACTTTTTCACTCTTTGTTGATCTAAGAGCCAATCAAACAGCAGAAATGTGCAACAATAAGAATCTAAAAGTGTGTTGATATTGAAAATGTACCGAATATTACTCTTATATGCGCATAGAAAGCTCTTGCTAGGTGCACAAAGTAAAAGTGGTCAACATTTACTTACAATGGCTACCTCTACGGCGTCCTGGTTTTTGTAGGAGAGGTCACACAGAACCAACAGCTTATGATCCTTTGCCAGGCTCCGCGTGGCAGGCATATACCTCAGCTCCGAGCAGACATTCTCCACCGTCGTTCCCTAGAAAGCATGGCAGATTTTTACAGGGATATTTCAGAAACAGAAACTATGTTTAAATAATTGACATGTAAGAGATAAAAGTACTGTTAACAGTACTATAAAAGCATTGGTAAGGCAGCCTTTTCTGAAAATACACTACCGGTCAAAAGTTTGAGGTCAGGTTTTTTTGTCTTTTCAAATTATTCTGTTCATCAAGGTGGCATTTATTAAAATGTAAACAAAAATGTTACATTGTTAAATATTTATTAAAAATTTTAATAACTGTATTATTGCATGTCGTTTTAAATCCAATTATTACTCCAATAATTTTTGCTTTAATTACTATTACCAATAATACTACTACTAAAACTACTACTACTACTACTAATAATAATAATAATAATAATTTTATTATTATTATTAGAGTGATTTCTGAAGGGTCATGTGGCTCTGAAGACTGGAGTAATGAAGCTGAAAATTCATCTTTAAAATCACTTAAATAAATTACTAAATTAAATTATAAACTACTGTTGAACAGTTATTTTATAGTGCAATAACATTTCACAATTTTTTACTGTACTTTTAATTAAATAAATGCAGCCTTGGTGAGCATGATAAGCTTATTTTAAAACATTTAAAAATTCTACTGACCTCAAACTTTTGACCAGTAGTGCCCTTTTTTTTGTACACAGGCAATAATAGCTGTACATTCACCACAGTGTTTTTTATTTTATTCTAAAGGGGATCTATTATACACAATTTACTTTTGCATATTCAGAAAATGTGCTCTCAACCTGCCACAGCTATATGGTTTTAAAAGAACAGGGCTAGTGCTTTTAGTTACCTAAAAATCATTTGGTGGACACACAGCCTAGAGCACTATGCTACAGCTACGGTGATTGTCGTATGTTGGTAATACAATGTTTTTTTGTATCAGTTTGGGGTCAGTAAGATTTTCTAAATGATTTTACAAAAATTATTAAGAATGAACTAATCATTTTATGTTTTATACTCAATCAAAAATAAAGTTAAAACAGAAACGTTGTAAATTATTACATGTGTTTTGTTTAATACAGTATGTGGGATTTATTCCTACATGCAACTATTACTCGCATGATCCTTTATTAACCTTCCAAATTTACAGTGCTCAAATTTTAATAACTAACAGTGCTGAACTGTTATATATTTTTCCAACTCAGTTCTGGTTTATTTCAAGCAGAATACTTTTTCAAAATGCCTTTGCTGTCACTTTTGATCAATTTAATGTTTCCCAGCTGAATAAAAGTATTCATTCAAAGTATTCTTCTTACTGACCCAAGACTTTCACCAGACTTATAAATTAGACACGGAAAAGGTCAACAAAAGGTTTATTTTCTTGTTTTCAAAACATTTTTACTTAGTAATACCATGTTTGGGCCAAATCTCATAGACTACTGCAATTCCATCTGATATCATCTGTGTATCATGAGGGCTTTTGTGCAATCCGTTCAAACACCACTACAAACATGAATACTTACTGTGGGTAGTTTGTCCCTGTTGAAAATAAGGGTGATGCGAGCACAGCTCTTGTCCAGATAGACCGAGTTGGGCTCGCATTTGGTTTGGAGGGTTGGGGGGGTCTCAGGGCTTGAACAAAACCCCCATTGGTGACAAGGGGGTGAGAGGCATGTCAGGAAGTTGTGCTCCAGGCATTCACGACCTCCTGGACAGTAGTGAAGCTCTCGCCCTGGGGTCCCTGGCAGAAGGCATGGCTTCCGACCACAGACCACCTGAGAAAGAGAGAAGCTTTTATATAGATATAGAAACGAAAAGTTAAAGACGAGCATGTTCTTCAGACACTTACCTTGGTGCACTCCACCTTGCCGTTGACGCACTGACAAGTGTTGCATTCTTCCTCCCAGCGGCTGCCATGTGGGAACTGAAGTCCAGCATAGTGGCACGTCTTCCCAATGCCAATAACTGCAACACAACACAAACAACGTAAGACTGCAGCCAATTCTAATTTAGGAGCAGATCCCCTTTCTGTCTGGAGTGATCGGTCACATGATGCCTAATGCCCATGCTGTCTGCCTTTCATGTCGATTACTTCATATTCCCTGATTTGTGGCTTCAACTCCAGGTCTAGCCTTTAGCTTATCCAAATCTGCATATTAGAATGATTTCTAAAAGATCATGTAACATTAGCTATGTTTCCATCTACTTTTTTTTACGCACATATTGGCATTTTACTTTTTTTTTTTTAAAGGGAACCTATTTTACCCCTTTTTCAAGATTTAAGATGAGTCTTTCGTGTCTTCAGAATGTATCTGTAAAGTTTCAGCTCAAAACACCCATCAGATTATTTAGTATACCTTTAAGAATGTTGGGATTTTCTGCTCTGAACCCCATGTAGCTGTATTAGTGACCTGTGCCTTTAATGCTAGTTCTCCTCGCCCAACATTTCCATGTGCCTGTCAGAGTGTGCCTCAATCTCCACCACGGCTGCATCAGATAAACAGCACAGTGACAGAAATGCACCTTTAAAAATGTTTTAAGCTCATTCTTGATCAAATTTGACGATGATTGATGATCACAGCCATTCTGTCTTGTGGGTATAATTATACCTGTTATACTACAAAGACGTGTTAATATGAGGCTGTCAATCAATTCAGTGGGCGGAGAAACCGCACTCTTACATCACGTTGCGGTCGGCCTCAACAGGGGGGGTTTGGATCCTATTTTAACAAATAAGAAATAAAAAAAGAAGAGACTTATTGTCTTTTTATCACCCCAATATGACTGTGGACACACTATACTGTACCTGCACACAGTTCTGTACGAACAGCTTACAAAAGATGATTTTCATCATAGGTGCCATTTAATTTAAACGTCATGATGTGCCTACATTTTGAAAATGAGCATAAAATGGTATGTGCACAACTCGGTAGAAAAAAAAAATCTGCATAAATTTTGATGTAAACATTGAATTCACTTTTTAAATATAAAAAAAATTTAAAAAGTCAAAAGAAAATACTGTCAAGTTTGGCTTCTCCTATTGCAGCAAATTTCATTTTTAATTTGATATTTGCCACTAGTTTATCAGGAAGTGACAATTTTGCATTATTTACAAAAAAACTAAATCACATCTTTTTGGATGGAAACATAGCTATTGACTTGAACAAAATAGTATGGAGCCCAAACGTTTGACAAGTTGTGTATGCATTTAAAATTGACTATCTTTTTCATAATTCCGAGAACTCATCCAGCACTTGAGAGATTTTTGGCCAATCAAAAACTTTGAAGAGTAAAAATGCCTCTGACTAGCAACTAAATAAATAAGGAGCCGATCACGCCAATTGCCCTTTTTGCGTAGAGATGTGACATATTTGAATGATTTACTAACGGCCGTGAGTGTTTTTGCGTGCTGCTTATGCACCCTGCGTGCATCACGTTTTAACCACCTACTGCGCCTCTCTTTTTGTCCTTGTGCGCAGAGCGTTTGCAGTTAAAAAAAAAAAAGTCAATCATGAGCGTAAAAAGCGGCAGGTCACTCATGTGTTTTTTAATCTCCAATTAAATGAAAGCAGAGACGGGGTTTCCATTGAGGTGCCGGCAATGTTTGTCAAGACAACAACGGAGACATTTGAAGATTGAGGAGAGACTAGTGGTTGCTGTTTTGAGTTATCCAGAACTGCATGCATTCAAAACTCTTGAATATCACAAAATTAGTAAGTATTAGAATCATATTAATATCAACAGCAGCACTCGCACACAATACACAGCTGACTCAGTCCATGCCTAGCGACATACAAAAAGCACACCGCGCTTCATTTTTTCTTGTCAACAAAAAAGGCAGTGTGATGCGCCTTGCGTGTTGGGAACATAGTTGGCGTTCGTGTGATCAGCCCCTAAAGCCTGATTTATACTTCTGCATCAAACACCGGCGTATGCTACGGCGCTGACGCATAGCCCTTCGCCGTGGCCATCGCCGTCACTGACGTGCACCTCTCAAAAAATGTAACTACACGTCGCAACGACGCGTAGCATAAGCTCTGTGATTGGTCGGCTTGGTAGCGCTGACGAGTCTGGGCGGGACCGAGAGGCGCGCGAATGGCGCGACGCCGCGCGAGCGATTGTTTACAAGTGTGGAGTCCCGTGAAGGAGCTCCGGATGGAAAGTTTTGTTTTGTGTTTACCTCATAGTTAAAGTTGTTGCACGTCCGCCGGTTCCTGCCTCAAAATGAGCGAGTTTGAGCCACTTGTACATCCCGGAAGTGTTCAGGAAATGCAAAAAAGTAGCGAAGAAACTTGACACAGAGGAACATTTACACCTCACTGCCAACTAGCGTTTCGGAAGTGTTAATGCAGACCGGCAGAGACAGCGCGCAGAAGTATAAATGCACAGCCACGCGCGTTGCCTGCGCCGTGGGTTACGCCGGTCACCTGACGCAGAAGTATAAATCAGGCTTAAGGGTGCCATATAAACAAATCCTACTGGATAGTCCTGAGCTGTTCACTTTGTCCTTTTCCAACTTCCTTTTTAAACGCCAATCGATTTCATGGGGACTTTAGGGTCCATTTCTCAATATAGCCTAGGTGAGAGAACTGAAAGGAGACAGGCTGTTTTAACGATTAAACAATAACTCTTACACTCTTGGCATTGAGGTCCAGTGCGACCGAGTGGGCAAACACACCGGAAACCATTGATCTCATCCACACAGGTGGCACCATAGGCGCAGGGGGATGACTGGCACTCATCGATGTCTGGTAAACCAAAGAGAACACACATTCATCAATACAGCTACAGCCCAGGCAGAAATGTCATATTCAGAGAAAGTTAAAACTGTCATCTCAAATCAATACGCATTTGTAAACGCCAGGATTGATGGCGTTCCCATGACCAGCCCTCAGAAAATGAGGCTGGGGAAATGCATGGAATCTTTAAGGAGTGTTTTCTATGTGCATCAATGGACACAAGAGACATAAGAAGAGGAATTTTTCCACTGGTTGAATAATTTATCCCCTCTGTCTGTTTGTGAGCAAGGGCCAACCTTTGACCCCCGAGGAGGTCAAAGGGCACGGGATGCTCGGTAATCCACCAACACCCCTCTTTCTATATGTCGCCATTCTTTCCTCTTTGAGATACTCACTGATACGGCAGTCGGGTCCTGCAAATCCAGGAGCACATTCACAGCGGAACCAGTTCACCCCATCCACACAGATTCCTCCATTGTAACTGCAAGAAGACAATGAGTTCACTAGTCGAAAGAGACAACTTTCCCCTACTGATTGACATATTTTGATTTCTAAATGATAGATGTGAAGGTTTTATCATAATATGTTCACTATTATCTACTATAATACAGGGGTCCCTCATTAATCGCAGGAGTTACATTATAAAAAAACATGCAACAGGCGAAATAATTAGCTTTATTTTTTACAATTATTATAGATGTTTTAAGGCTGTTAAACCGCCACTACACTTTTCTCACTTTTCTCAGACAGGGATAAACATATTCACACTTTTCTCCCGTTTTAACACTCAAAGTTCAAACTATCCTGGAAAAATAATTCCAGTGTTATAGAATGAAACCAAAAATTAAAACCTGTTGTCAGGCACAAACATTCATCGCTGTCAGCAAAAGGCTTTTAGGTTTTGTGCGGATAATGTTGGCATCCAGCATAATGTTCTTTTTCCTGCAGTCACTAATAAATAAAACTAGCAGACTCCACCCTAAAAGGGGGTCACGCACATGACAGTTGAACGCAACACACACAGGACACGCGCATTCAAATGCTATTTAAAATAAAAGTATTCGGATGGCGCTCTGTGGCATGGCAGAAATATGAACAGTGTCCTAAATCGTACACTGAAAAAAATTATTCAGAGATGATTCCTTGGATTTACTCAATTTGTTTACGTTAAGTGGTTGTAAATAATTTATTTGTGTTGAATTTAAACAAACAAATTAAGTTGAACATTATTCAACTTAATTTGTTTGTTTAAATTCAACTCAAATAAATTATTTGCAACAGTTCTGCATGCAACACTTTTTTCAGTGAGCTAGGCGCCGCAGACAGCTGCAGACTTGCGGTGTTTACAATTCTGAAATGTATGTTGCTGCATAATGCGGCACATCCGGTGTGCGACCCCCATTACGATGGTCTTGCTGTGGACAGTTACGACCCTTTATGCTTTCTTGTTGAAACTCAGATTGCTAGCGATCAAATTTTTACGCTTATTTGGCAAGCTGAGTGCATTATGTACTGTACCAGTGACACAAAGAAGATTGATTGACAATGGTCTACAGCCAATCAGGACGAAGAACACAATTGGCTGTTAAAAAACATGTCAAATTGCACTAAAGAAAATCCACGAAACTTAGAGAACCGTATTATAGTGAGTGACCACTGTATGTGAAAACGACAGACAGTATTTTTACCAATATTCATTAGCTATAATGACAACTGATCATTATACACCTCTCCACTAACGTGACCATAAATCTTGTTTATTTATTTTTAATTTTTCTATATTTCTGAGTGTTATTCTGTATTTGAGTACGTGTTTACTACATGACTTTATTTACAATTTAAAAACAAGAAACCTTTTTACAGATTTATTCTGTTTATTTAGAGTACCTAACAACAGCATTTCATACAGATTTTTTAAAAAAATTGACATGGTTTTAGATCATTTCAATGTAGTGATATCATTGGCCCTTGAACATTTCCTGCTTGTTGTCAAACTACTGCATAAATGTAACAAGAGGCAATTCAATCACGACTAAGCAATTTAACAGCTATCATAACATTTTCAATATGTAGATCTTTTTGGATTCTCAGAAGCTACGGAAATTAAATATGTATAAAGGGAAATATGATAGGACCATTGTTATTGTTTATATCCCTCAAAATAGTCGATCCGCTTGTTTAGTCGTAAAATATAGGTGACGTATGAAATACTGTTACTGGGTCCAAGCCGCTACTCATTTTAATTGAGAAAATATTCCTTTTTAGTCCTATCACACGTTAAAGTGAATTTTAAATAAAATCACGGTGTACACAACAGTCTCTGGACTTGCTGCAGCACAAATACCAAAAATGTTTACATTTATAAAAAATGAATCACTTTCTGGCCAATGGATATGAGGCATGTACATATTTCGATCTTGATTTTTGAAAGTATTACATCGGTTCGTAAACGTTTATTATTACCATTTACGGAGTCTCCCCATACAGTTTGATAGAGTGCTTGGACCCGAAAGCCACTTTGCGTGACGTCACACTTAACAAGCAGATAGTCTCTAAACCATAAAATGAATTTGTACTTGACATCGTCGACTACTGGTAAGCATCATAAAGCTTTTTTAGTCATTTTTGTGAAGGTGATTATTTCACCAATGCTGTCATGTTCAAGTGGATGATTGTGACCTAAAAAAAACTAAATTTACAATGATAATAAAAATAACAATAATAAGTGTAACAATAATAATAACAATAATAATCAAACTGAAGAATCCCTTATGATCCATTCAGTCCCTTTAACTGCTTAGCAAAGTTTGTTAAATAAAAGTTTCTGTTGTTGGGACATAAGAATTATGTTTATCCAATTAATGAAGCTGTAAAACCTGAAAATTGTAATAACCAGTGTGTGCTTTAAATAAAATTAATTCAATTCTATTCTATTCTATTCTATTCTATTCTATTCTATTCTATTCTATTCTATTCTATTCTATTCTATTCTGTATTGTTTTAGATTTTTCTAGTATTTCTTTTGCATTGACAATTTCAGCTGTGGCTTTATAATCATTTACAAATCTTAGTTATTTATTCAGTCATTCATTTATTTGATTCACAATTTTAATACATTTATGTTTATCATTTATTATATTAATAATTAATTGATTTAATTTCTTTAAGTTATAGATTTTTCATTACTGCTTTTCGTGTTTTTACGACTGTTTAAATGACTGTTAAAATGTTCTTCTCCACTGATATGAGATATGAGGGTATGTCTCTAATTTAAGGTCTTGTGGCCTGATGTATAATAACGTTTGCTATGTTTGTGCTGCTCAGATGAAGTATGAGAACGCACTGAAACAAATGCAACTAAGATTATTCAATAAACCCTGTTCATTTATTCTCATCACTTCATCTCTAGCTTCTGCTCTTCTCTGGCTTCCTTGCACAGTCAACTCCTATATTGATAGTAGACTGTAAATTCAGTTGAATACTGGTTAACCGGTTTGGGTGGTGGAAACTCTGCTGACTTGTCTGAATACTTAAAGAAACTGTAATTTTCTGACAAGAATTGGCATCTGGGGCTGGATTTTTTTTATCTGGCATAGAGACTGTGATCTAACAAAGCTGAACTGACTGTAAAGCTGTATTGTATCGCATCATACTCCCAATACACATCAATAGAGCAGGAAAACAGAGGGGGGGAGGGGGCATACGTGGATGAGAGATGGACGAAGAAGGATGCATTTATCAATACCGGCACTTTTCAGATGCAAATCCCCCCTCAGCGGCTCCTTGCTGGGACCCCCACCCCCTCACCTCCCAAATCCCCTGCTCCTAGGTCAGCGGTGAAGAAAGGCAAGAGGACGGAGTGGGCTGGAGAAAAAGAGCCTGTCCATCCCCTCCTCCCCTCACCGCTGGGGGTGCTCTTTTAGGGCCATCGGCTCTATTGTGGTCCCCATTAAAACCAGCCCGGGGTCTCCTGAGCTGTCGGATTTAGGGGTGATTTAGGGACATCTTCTCCCGTCTTTACAACCAGCGTCCCCCTTGGACCCCTCCTCTCTGTATATCCGCTCTCAGAGAATGGGGGTTAGGGGGGCAAGAACAACAGGGTGGAATAGGGCAGAAAGCCGCGTTATTCCTAGCCGTCTATGTTGTACAAGGAAAGGGGAGGCTCGGCACGAACAACACAAGAGATGGACTTAGAGTAAATAAAAGGGGGAACAACTGGAGAGTCGCATAGGTTTTCTTACCAGGGGTGAGGGTTGCAGTCGTTGGTGTCTGTGAGGAATCGGAGAGAAAGACAGAGTCAGGGAGAGTCATGGGTTGAGTGTAATTTAAGATGAGGTTTATGGATGTGATGTTTGTTTTCTGTGGTATGCAGACATGCACTGGCAGTGGAGTTGTGAATGGGGGAATTCACTCACTCTGGGCGCAGGTGGCTCCCTCCCAGCCGTCTTTACAGATGCAGGTGAACGTGTCTCCGCCACCCACACACGTGCCTCCATTCAGACAGGGGCCGGACGCGCAAGTGCTGTTCTTCGCTGAGGGAGAAAGAGTGAAAAAGTTAAAAGAGAGCATAGTCTGTAGAGCAATATAGATCCTTTAACTGCCCCACCAAAAAAAAAAAAAAAATAAAAAAATGGATAGCGTTTCTTAAGTCCTAATGCACTGCAAAAAATATTTTCTTACATCAATTTTCTGTCTTGTTTCTATTCCAAATATCTAAAAATTCCTAAATCAAGAAACATTTTCTAGACATACAAAACATATTGTCTTATATTCAGAAATAATATGCCAAAATTAAGTGAGGTTTTCCTTAAAACAAGCAAAAATGATTTGCCAATAGGGTAAGCAAAATAATCTTATATCAATGGAAAAACAAGATTATTTTGCTTATCCCATTGGCAGATTATTTTGCTTGTTCTAAGGAAAAACTAACTTAATATTGGCATATTACTTCTGAAAACAAGACAATATGTTTAGCTTGCCTATAAAATGCTTCTTGATATAAGAATTTTTAGAAATTTGGACTAGAAAGAAGACAAAAAAATCTAAGTAAGAATTGCATTTTTTTTTGCAGTGTCACAATTTCAACACATCCTAAAATTTCTAAAATATCAACCTCTACCAAATGGTTGATATGTCGGTTTATGATAAAAGCACTAGAATTACATATACTATGATAATTGTATTTTATCATAATTGTAATTGTATTTATCATAGTATATGTATTAATAAAGACCAATTTATTAAAAAAATATTAAAAATAAAACATTTTTAAAAACTAAATCGTTTTCATTTTGTGAATTATGCCATAAACTATTTTAGATTCTCATTTAACATGTTTTCTTTTTACAATAAAACCAAAATCAAGTGTACTAGTGCAACAGGATTATGTTTGTTTGATTTTCTTGTAAACCAACAATGCTGTGTGTGCAAACCATTATTTAAAGCAGTCATTACATGGTCAACCATTTGGTAGAACAGGCAGTTAAAAGCGTTAAAAGCCTTTAAAGTTAGTCAGTCATTCACAATGCGTGGCACAATGAAATTAATGGGTTATGTAGTGCAATATTTTCCATGTCCTGTGTGAAAGCTGCTTCAGACTGCACAGTGCATATTGGAACTGTCAACCAGTGTGCTGATCACTTTTTTAACCTTCAACCGTTTTTATAACTTTTTTTATTATTATTATTCAGCTCATATTTTTAGATGTTTTCTCTTTGAAAATGGCATTTTCAGTTTTCTGTAGGAATTGCCAATATCTTATCAGTTGCAAAATACCAGTAAAAATTCTGCACCAAAAAAAAAAAAAAAATTTAATAAAAACGATAAAACCAACAATGGCCTATGTGCACAGCTAATGATAAACGTCCGGTGAATGCTTAATATGACAATTTTTAATTTCATAAGGTTCGACATCGATAATAGCATTGATGTTGTAATGTAATTATAATACATTCATCTATACAGACTTAAGCATTCATTAAGTTGTTCAAGTGTAAAACAAGACAAAAGACTGTAAAACCGATAGAACCATCAGGATCAGCAGGTGAGCGTAGAAATTCCATTAAAAATGCTGGGGTAAAATATGTGGTTGTATTTTATAGACATGGTGGGGGGAAACTGAATTTAACATAGTGCTTCTTGTCTGGTCTGAGACCCACTTCATATAGTATATATCTATCAGGCATCGAAGATCACTGATTTTTAAAGAAATCAGACCTCAAACGCTGTGATTCTATAATCGAATTACAGTTCACCTGAAGCCCTGACATTGGCTGGCTGCAAATTTAAAATTTGTGTGTATAATTGGTTTGTGCAATGATTTATTACAGAAGCACACAAGCAAAACAGTTTACATGAGATCGTTTACAAACAGAGTTACTGACAAGCAGGTACGGTGCACAATAGTGCTGTTTAAACAATAGTCATGCTTATAGAGGCTTTTTAACTTTTTCACTTACTTTGAGTGGCTTGGACCCATAATTTTGATGTTTATCTTTATGAATCCCTTCTTCAAAGAGCACCGACACATTGACTACCCCCAAAGCACTTTTTGTTTGATTTTGGATTTACATTTATTAAATAAATTTCATTCGCTTTATAACATTAGTTGAGTCTGTGATATTACCTTCATACTTTGAAGAAATCATACTACTTTATTTGATTCAATACAGTAATAAAGGCTAGGTCAATTAGCACTGAATAATGCGTTAAAATAAAATACCCAGGATGACTTGAAGAACAGAAATAATCCATAGACTGACATAAGCGTTTGTTTATTATGTTCATGTTTGATCCATTAATCCATTTCTATCATCTTTATCCTGTTTGCTTTGAGGCAGCCATAGCTGATGTCTTTTCTTCAGTAATCTACATGTGGCGTTTATGTGTGAAGCCGCCATCTAGTGTCCAGTATGAATGAAACAGAAATTGCATTACAAAGTGTGATTACTATTTTTTTGGGTCTTGATTTTTGCTCCTGGGAACGCACAATCCTGCAAATTTAGTTTTTAACATGCTTCAGCACAACTGCTTGTGTATTTTATATAATCCTAAAAAGCTTGATTCGCTGCTTCAGTGTGTTTAATTATGGTTGAGCACGTTGGATAGACTGTCCCACTATTCTTTAAAAATACGTTCAAAATTAAGAAAAAAAGACATATAATAATAATTTAAATCAACTGTTATTTATTTGTTTGTATTTTTATATATATTACGCGTCTAGATACTTATGCATTGTATTTTCAATAGTATTGTTTTTGCAATAAATACCCAAAAATATTGTAATATATAATAGACCCAGGTATCTAGAGCTCTTCTTACCTGTATTGCATGTACTTCCTTCCCATCCTGGAGGACAAGCACAGCGGAAAGCATCTCCGTGATCATAGCAGGTTCCTCCATTACTGCATGTGGAGGAGTCACACTGACTTTCACCTAAAACACACAAAAAATATCATCAGTCAGCTCACATATTCAGTACAATAGGAAGAAGACAGGAAAAAAAATAAAAATAAAATTTAAAACGAAGACTGACGTGAATGGCAGGTCTTTCCCTTCCAGCCATTGGCACATTCACAGTAAAAGTCATTGACCAGATCCACACAGTGCCCGCCATTTTTGCAGGGGCTCCGACTGCACTCGTTCACATCTAAAAGCACAAGTAGGAAGGGTAAGGAAGTGAGCGTAAAAAAAGGTTAAGATGATAAAGTTGATGATGATGATGAGGGACACTCACTGATGCTGCAAAGGTCTCCTTCCCAGCCATCTGGACAGAAGCACTGGAAAGAGCTGATCCCGTCAATACAGGTGCCTCCATTTCGACACGGATTGCTCACACAGTCATTTACATCTGGTAGACGACAAGTAAAATTTACACAAACATTAAGATTTTAAAATAAAGACAACAAGTTCACATTTGAAACAACACATTTGATAGCCAAAATTAGAGTTAAGTTTTGTGTTTTTTTTTTAGATTAGATTTACATTTTTGAAATGTACATTGTTTTTACATTATTTGGTTCTTGCTGACTTAACGCAGCTTAAGTGCTACTATGAATACAGCAAAGAGGCAACAAACCTTTTAAATTAATTATGATTTTTCAGCTGTTATTATTATCATTACTTAATTATTAGTAATGAAATGCTTTAAATAGAAAATTGTAATATTTTTAAATTACTTTTAGTGATTATTTGAAAGATTTTAAGCAATTAATACAGTTAATATTTCAATAATACTGTAAATAAAATATATTTGATGACAATATGTTTATTGTTATTATGTTTATATGTTATTATGTTTATTTAATGTTTATTTTGCTCATGTGGTGCTAATAACAATTATTCCATGTAATATTTAAAACTAAATGATGATAAAGCAATTATATTTTAAATAAATAATTATTCTATTCTAAAATATTAACAAAAATAAAACAAATGCTAACGCTAAACTACGAGTGAAATTAGTTCTACAAGAAAGTTAGGTTTTAGCAGTAAACCATTAGCAGGATACAGCTGAAGTTGCTTTAATAACCATTTACTCTGTAAAAAAGAACTGAGACTAAAGAAGGAACAACAAAAACAGGGTTTCTGCAGGTGTCACCAAGTTGAATTTAAGACATCTTTAGACATTAAGACAATTTACAGACCATTATAAATGAAATTTTAGACTCATACAAGGCTAAACGCTGGGAAGTTTTTTTAATGAATGGAAAATATTTATATTTGTCCTGTTAATTATTATTTTTTTTTAAATAATTTAACACATTTGTTAATACAATGACAATTTAATAAAAACAAATTTAAATATTTTAAATATTATTTAGCAAAATATATTTTAAATAGTGTCAATATTTAAGCTCTAGTTGTAAACTCATACTTTTTTTCAACAAACTTAAAAAAATAAAATTTGATAAATGTTTTAACAGTTTAAAAAATATAATAAACTACATGTATGCACAACAGTCTGTCCAGGTCAGTGTCCTCAGCAGTAAATACATGGGGAACTTTTAAACAAATATTATTATGAGGAAAATAAATAAAACAGTACAGTAGACTCACTCTCGTGACAGTAGGTTCCTGTAAAGCCAAGCTCACAGGTGCAGGTGAAATTTCCACCCGGCTGACTGATACAGCGGCCATGAGGACCACAAACATTAGAGTTAATGTGTCTCACGCCTCCATCTGAACTGTTACTCGCCACAGCAATGGTACAGCTATCGATCACTGACAAACAGAAAGCAAGCAGGAATGTGTGTTATATTAGTGCTGACATGATACTGGAATTTCTAACTTCAATACAATACCTTAATAAATAAATAACAATATTAAATACCATTTTTGAAATCACAGGAAAATATTGCCAAATGAATAATTAAAATAAAATGTTAATAGGCATTTTTATACAACATTTAACATATACAGTTGAAGTCAGAATTATTATAGAAATTATTAGAAAATAATATTTGAGTAGATATTTTTAAGAGACTACTATACAGTTTAAAGTGACATTTAAAGGCTTAACTAGGCAGGTTAGGGTAATTAGGCAAGTTATTGTATAATGATGGTTTGTTCTGTTGACAGTAAAAAAAAAATATATAAAAAAATATATAACAAAGGCGCTAATAATTTTGACCTTAAGATGTTTATTTAAAAATAAAAAACTGCTTTCTAGCCACTTTCTAGCCGCAATAAAACAAATAAGACTTTCTCCAGAGGAAAATAATTCTATTATCAGACATACAGTAAAAATGTCCTTGCTCTGTTAAACTTCATTTGGGAAATATTTAAAAAAGAAAAAAAAAGAAAATCAAAGGGGGGGCTAATAATTCTGACTTCAACTGTATTTAGCCTAATTAATGACGAGAACAAATAATTAAAAGGTATCCTAGCATTCATGAGCTGAGAGAAACACACAAACAACACAAGTATTGAGTTTTCTACCGCATCTTAACCTTAATCTTTAAACGAATGAAACCTGAAACACGTGAAGTTCAATGCATTAGCTATGAAAGGCAAACTTTGTACTGACACTGCAGATGTGACAGGGTTTCATTTCAAATATTTAATCATACATACACATATCAAAATATCAATAAAAATGACAACATAGTTTTAAAGGGTTCACTATACAGTATCAATCCAAGAGGTATTGTATCGTTTCAAATATTTAAGCATACTTATCAAAATAAGTGATATCATAAGCCACTTCTCCGCATTGTACTAAACTGTTGTAAAAATGGTCAGGTATGGATCCAGATTTCCATACCAAGTCTGGAATTAAATTCTGGGCATGGTTATACTACAAAAACAGAAGTCCAAAAACTACAACTATCAATTCCTCATCCATTTCGCTCTTTCCATTACACTTATTTATATTATACTGTTTACAATGACTGACGCATTTATATTACATTCCCATGAGTTTCATTCTCAGCACCACAGTGAAAAAAGAAACTATTACAGCACCAACTGGACCAGATTGAAACAGCTTACCAAACAGAACTGTTCAGCTTTTCTACTGTTTAGTGGAAAAGCAGTTTTATTGTCTTAAATATTTATATATTTCAATAAGGACTTCGGACAACGCTAGTGAAGATAGACTTCTTAGGCAGTTTTATATTGGTCAGGATACAAACTGGAAATACGTTACCTTGGCAAGGGGTCATCTTGCAGTGGTCCTTGCGGTTTTCGCAGGTCTTGCCCTCATAGTCTTCAGGACAGGCGCAGTAAAAGTCACCCGGCAGACTGTAGCACAAAGCTGTATTCTGACAAGGGTTCGGCTCACATGGGTTTGGGTGAGACAGACTCTCCACCTTCAAAAAAAAAAAGAGATTGAGTTAATGAATGAGTTTGGCCTAGGCTTTGAAAATGTAGTCCTCTTAAACTACAGATAAACAGTCAGGTAAGCTGTGAAAGCTCCCATAAGCCTCCAGCTAAAGGAGACAGCACCATTACACTCACACAAGAGACCAATCAAAACAAACTGTGCTGCTAAATTTAGACCTCCTTCCGTTCTTACGGAGCAAATTCAACTGGGACGAGGAACACTTTTTGCTCATCTAGTTCTCCTCTGATCTCGACTTGGCCTTGTTCTGGTAAATATTCTTAGAAGTCAATCATTCACACAACTGTTAACATATTTAACATGAACTTATTTTAAGAAAAAAAAAACTCTTAAAAGGATATTTCGTTTGTTTTCCATGAATCAAAGCTAAAGTAAACTTTACTAAATTAAAATGAAAACCAAAAATACAAACTAAAACAGACAAAAGAACTACACAAAAAATTAAGAACTAAGAGAAATATAAATAAAACTAAATGTAAACCTAAATTAAAAAACATATAAATCAAAACAAGAAACAAAACCAAACAAAAAGAAACTTAAAACAAAATCTCAATATAATCATAAACTTAAACTACACACACACACAAAAAAACTTAAAGAAAACAAAAATTCAATCTTATCATGAACCTAAAACAAACAAACAAAAAAAAAAAACAACAAGAAACAAAACCAAACAAACAAAAAAAAAGTATTAAAAAAAAAATCTAAAGTTAAAAATCTTAAAGTGGCAGCTACTTGAAAAAACAATTTTGCCTTCGGTGAATGGCCTTTATATCAGATCAATAATAGTTAATATAATTAGCAAAAATTGGCTTTTGAAGCTGATTTTCAGACTATAAATCAATAACTGGCCAACAGTCCATGGCAATCCATCATTTTGCAATTGAATTTGTCAATCTTGTCTTTTGCATCATGTCTCTCATTATGAGTGCCACATTTTTAGGATGCTGTGTCAACTGCTTGATGGGTCAAAGGGCATGACTAAATGACTTAGATTTTTATACAAATAACTGTCATTTCTACTACCACCCATATAATCTAATCTAATCTAATCTAATATAATATAATATAATAAAATATAATATAATATAATATAATATAATATAATATAATATAATATACATTTTCATTCATCATTTCATAAAGTATTTTCTAAATACTTTTAAATTAGAAAAGCAATTTTAAATTACCATATTTATTAATATTTTTTGTTATTTTTATTGAACAAATGTTTCCTTGATGATCATAAGAGACTTAAATTCTAAATCTTAAGGCCTCCAACATTTTGAATCATATACTATTATACAGGCAAATAGCAAAACCTTACAACAACCTCATACTAATTATAGATGATTATGCAGCATTCTGCGTCCCTCTCATTCTCCCCAATTCCCATTTTTACAAAAAACAAACAAGTAAATAAAATTGAACTTCAATCTTGCTGTTCTCCTGAATAAAAAGTACGCTGAATTGCTTTTAGCATGAATAAAAACTGTAAAGGGCGAAGGCCTACACAGAGCACTTACAGAGCAGTGATGTAACAGGAGTCTGCAAACCAGACTGTATCAAGACAGACTACAGAAAACTGCAAGAGCAGGCAGATGTAAGAGATAATCATCCATCTGTACCGGATCCCAAGAACAAACCCAGCTGGACACGCTTCAAACAGCAAGCAAAACCAGTCAACATTTAATGTTAAAACACTGAAAGAAAAACCTCTTTGAATATTTCATAGTGATTTGTACTTTAAATGGTTCCAGGGGGTTTATCACTCCTTAGCACTCATAAACCACAGCTGCTTGAGGATTATTGCTTTAGTAACTGTAAATACATTTTGGTTTTATACTTGTAAAGATCCAAAGTCATTTTGTACATGACTAGAACAGTTTACTTTCTGTTTGCATCATGAGAAGACAATGATAGCATTAACGATTAATAGAAATAGTTAGTAAAGCATTTACTGTAGATATAATGATTTGAAAAAGATTTTTGGTACAAGATTTTATTTATGTTGTCAATTTGTGCATTTGCCCAAGCAACAGCCTTACCAAAAGAAAAGCTGGCCTAGTACAGTGCTCGCTATCCAAGAGACTGTAGACGGTATGGTCTAATGTGAGCGAATGGCACGCCAGGCATGAATATAATGTAAAAATCAAGGCCTTCTCTTTCCCGGGCTGTTTGTGGGCAGACTGCCAGGAGGCCAAGAGAAGAGTTGCCTCATTCACTACAACTTATTTTTAGTCTGCACGGTAAGATGAGACTGGCTCAGGACCAGCTTCCAGGACCACTATGCAAGTCCATCTTTAGCTGGCCACTAGACTTACACTGGCTCCAGACCAGAGCTCTCCACCGCCAACAGCAATAATGGCTACATGAAGAAAATTAAATAAAAACACTCCCACCCTCCTCCCAAACCCTACTCTAGTTACTCTGGTGCACCTGTGGCCGAATAGCAGGGTTGATCTGCCTTACACCAGGGCTTTAAACATGCATACATGCAACCAACCAGTTTAGCTGAGCCTATCAGGAGCAAAGTTTGAATAGGGAAGTAACACCATCTGTAGTGCTAAATGTCATCAATTAATCAAGACTCACAATTTCCATTCAATTATCAAACAGAGAAATAATAGATATCTTACAGTAACAGATGAAATCTGAATAAAATGAAGTAGCTGTCGTTTAATGTCTGCTCTTCGGTTATTAGTAATAGAAACAAATGTCAAAAAGGTCTGAACACACGACCAAAAAGTAAACTAAAATGAAAACCAAAAATAAACAAAAAAAGAAGAAATACAAGTAAATGAAAAACAAACTAAAACAAATATAAATCAACATGAAACACAACCAAACAAAAAGAAACAAAACAAAAACTCCATCCAAACAAGCTTAAAAACAAAAACTAGACAAGACACAAAACCAAAGAAATAAACAACAACAGTAAATTAACTAAATAAATAGATAAATAAATAAGTAAATAGATAAATAAATAAATAAATAAATAAACAGATAAATGAATAGATAGATAGATAAATAAATAAAAATAAATAAATGAAATTATTAATTAACTAATTAGTTAATTAATTAACAGATGAATAAATAAATAAATAAATAAATAAATAAAAGAAAAAATAAATAGATAGATAAATAAATAAATAAACAAATAAATATAAATACATAAATATAATTAATTAACAGATAAATAAAAATAGACAAATAGATTAACAGATAAATGAATAAACAGACAAATAAATAATTAAATAAAAGTAAATAAATATATAAATAAATAAAAATATAAATATATAAAAACATAATTTAATTAATTAATTAACAGAAAAATAAAATAAATAAATAAATAAATAAATGGACAAATAAACATAAATAAATAAATACATAAAATATTAATTAATTAATTAATTAATTAATTAATAGATAAATGAATAAATAAATAGACAAATAAAGATAAATAGATATACAAAAATACATACATAGATAAATAAATAAATAAGTAAATAAATAAATTAATTAATTAATTAAACCCAACCAAAAATACAAACCAAACTAAAATAATAATAATACCATAATCACTAATGCTTCTCACCTCACAGAGCATCCCTGCGTAGTTTGACGGACACTCACAAACGAAGCTGTCCAGAATGACATGGCAGCGGCCACCATTCTGACATGGACCGCTGGCACATTTATTCCTTGAGACTTCACAGTGTAAGCCCACAAACCCCGCAGGACACTGACAGTGGTAACCTCCATGAACCAGCTCCTGCACAGACACAAATAAATCCACCCTTCACCAACAGCACAATTAGCTGAAGCGACAATACAGCACCTTAAAAGTCTACATACCTTGCAAGTAGCTCCATTCTGGCACTGTCCATGGCAGCCATTGAGATCTGCAGTCAATGAGCAAAGCAAATTAATCAATGGCTAAGTGGAGGAAATAAAGGAGAGCAGTTGAAGATGTGCAATTAACTCAAATCAGATGAGCTTTGGTGAGTGCTGTGAAGATGGAAATGTTAGTTTAAATCAACATACGCACACAAAAAAAGCCCAGCATGCAACAGTAGGTGAAGCCTAAGACCAAATATACAGCGTGAAGAATCCCAAAAGCCATCAAGTGTCTGAAGAGGAAAGCCTGGCTGCCATTATAGAGCTCAAAGATGGAGGAAAAGAGAGGAGAGGAGCTTGAGGAGATACTGACTGATGTCACAGTTCTGTCCGGCCCATCCTTGAAAGCAGTCACAGTGATATCCACCAATCATGTTTTTGCAAGAGTGAGCATTTACGCAAGGCTTCCCCATACACTCATTTGCATCTGCGAAAGTGAGGGAAAGAAAGAGTTGGGAGATTTCGTAGACAATTTGGTAGATTGCGAGACCGAAGTGGAGATGGGAAGTGTAGAGTAGCAGGAGAGGAGCAGGCGAAATTGGAGCTCTTGTTGTGTAACCCCACCACCATTAAGCCCATTGAAAAGCTTGTTGGCTTGAAACTCTAACAGTCACAACGATGCCAGGGCTGCTTGACTTCCTGAGCAATGAGCATAACACAGGCACACACACACATAAAACACTTTACTAGTGTATCTGGTTTGTGTTCTAGTAAAAACAAAGCTATTTTTACTGGAAAAACACAATTTAATAGATTAATAATATCTTTCGTTATTCAATAAATTTGATTACACACAAAAACAATCTTTACAATCTCAAAAGTAAAGGTTCCAAAAAACAGTGATGCTTGAGTTCTGCTTAAAGGGTTAGTTTACCCCAAAATTAAAAATGTGTGATCATTTAGGGTGCTTTTACACTAGCACTTTTAGTCCGCACACGGGTTTGTTTGACATCAGAGTATGGTACATTTGGCTAGTGTGAACGTGTCTTCTGAACTCTGGTGCGCACCCATGTATTGTACCTGAGTCCGCCTGAAAAAGGTCGTCTGTGGTATAGTTCACGCAATTTCTGGTTCAGTTCACTTCTGGTATGAATGCAATCTTACCCAAAAACGGAAGTGAACCGCCAACTGTACAACAAACTTTAGTTTTCATAACGCTCATGTCTGTGTGACACATGCTATACACCTTGGTGACAAGCGGGACTGAGCCAGGGCAAACACAGTGATAATGTCTGCTTGTCTCCTTTAAAAACAGCTTCTACAGACATCGAGTGCAAAAGCAGAACGGCCGCGGCACACACGTCTTTTCATTTTTACGCTTTGCTTTTGTGTACGTCCCCTAGCAACAGCCGTACACACAACAGCAGCTCGATGACGCAAGCGTACCAGGATTCAGAAGGAAACAGACAGTGTGGACACAAACCAAACGAGAAGGTGGCAAGGGGGACAATCAAACTTGGATACGGTCCAGGCAATTGAACCAAGTGTGAAAGCACCCTTAAGCCCTGCTCACACTGTGAGATTTCAGCCATGATAGCCAAGACACATTTGGGAAATCCTAAAAGATTCCTGAAATCCTAGGCTAAAATCGATGATCTTTGATTTTTGGTTTGACATGTTCACTGACAGCTGCTTAAAGCCCGTTGCGACATTCTTGGCAGCGTCAGAAGATTTCTGACACATTCCTGCAGACGATTACGCGAACAGTTTTTTTTTTCTTTCTGGTTTTATTATTGAGGCATACTGTGTGCAAAATTGCCGCTACAGATTGTTTACGTAAAAAAAAAAAAAAAAAAAAAAAAACAGTGTGAGCCAGCCTTTACTTAATCTTTACTTGTTTTAAAAATTTATGCAAACCCCCTAGTTTTTCACGATTTTTTTCTGATAAAAATTTCTTTTTGTGGTGGTAATTCCCAGAAAAAAAAAAAAAAAAAAGAAAAAAAAAAAAAATATATATATATATATATATATATAAACTACTACGTTAGGTGTGCAATCTGACACAATGATAAGGACACAAATCATAAAAATAGAGCTTCTTTATGTTGGTCTCAAGACAAGATCAAGAAACAGTAGGAATTAAGCCAAAAGAAGTTTGTATAACTCTTATTTTTATCCACGATCTTACTTTCTCTCAGAGCATCTGACATTTTGTACCTCATACCCAGGACATGTTTTAGGGCTTCCCCTACCGTAATACACCTAAAACACGGATTGCTGTAAAACTCGGATTGCCGGAAGCGTTTTCTCTCATTAACTGCAGGAAGAGTTAAATGAAAACATTTATGGGTTTGACGCACATCATAATACCAGCCTTACACATGAAGCACTAATAATGTCCCTCAACTCAGTCATCCTTGAACCAATTTCATTGTAAGCTGCTTGCTTTCTCTCTGTTCCATTGCTCCATTTGTTAGATGTTTGCTCTCACCTTCTTTTGAGGTTTGAAGCATGTCAAATGCACAAAACGCCCAATTTACGCCATAGGATGTCTAATCCCATCCTTGCTTTGACTTCACATGTAAATCACTCGCGCTTCATCCACGTCCGCTTCCTGCACAGGCTGCAAAACAATTCTCCCTTCCATGGAATGTAATGTAATTTAATGTAATGATTGTGAGGGCGCAGATGAAATGTCATTTTTCAAAGGAGACTCAAATACTTCACTTGCGCTGTGTATGCAACGTCTACAAGTCATGCAAAACAATTAATTGCGAACTAAAGTAAATATATTTTGATTATATGGTTTGGAATTTGGATGTTTTATGAGTTCATTTCATTTTTTGTGATTATTTTGTATTTAAATTAAGAATATTAAATTAAGAATACTGCAAGATCGAAAAAATTTGTGACTGTTGATTTTGCGTTGGATTCAGCGATCGTGGAATTGCGAAAAACATGGGGGGTCTGTTTATGAGTAGTTAAAACAAATACTACGGTTTTCAGTATTCTTTAAAATATCTTCTTTTGTGTTGAACAGAAAGATAAACTCAAAGGTTTGAAACCACTGAGCGTGAATAAATAATGAGTAAATGTGTATTTTTGGGTGACCTATCCCTTTAATTGAATTTCCACAGATGTAATACATAAATAAATACATAAATGGAACCATACATTTTAAATATACGTTCTTTTAAGAAAATGTATACATTATATTTTTACTAGAATTAAATGATGAATGATTTATTATGTTATATAATATATATATAACATATGTTATACAATTATTATATAATTATAATACAATTGTAAACCCCTTAGAGCATCTCTAAAAAAATTTTTAAAATAAAAATAAAAAAATAAAATAAAATAAAAATCACCCCTTTTTCTGTTCATTTCTCTCCTATAAGCCTAAATGGGTGACCAGTCCGTTCAGGGGGCTTCGACACTTTGACTTGAAAATAAAACTGCCGCTTATTAGTGGTTTAAAAATTCATCAGGGGCCCCTAGTGAGGTGTGCTCCGCTCCCATGCGCACCTGTCCACCAGGAAACACGACTCTCCACTGCGCTCAGACCCGGCTCTGGTGAGCGAAACACAAGCTGCAGGCTAAGGTTCGAAGCGTAAGATGAGCAGCCCGACTCCTGTTCCCACCCCACGCTTGTTTACAGGTCACAATCCACTTCCTTTCACATTCATCACTTCCCCTGACAAGGCCTACACACCATTGTGAGCAGAAGGATGATGGAAAATCCTGTGGCGCCAGCGTTGGACCATCTAATCTAGTCTTAGATCCAGGTCTATATGGCCGACTTACAGTCAACAAGGATCAGGTTGCCACTGTTACCAAATCCTCATGCAGACTAATGGGTAACACTTTAGTTTAAGTACCAATTCCCACTATTCATTGTCGTCTTACTACCTGCTTATTGTCATTAGGGTTGTCACGATACTGGAATTCAGTACCAATCTGTACCGAAATTTAAAAAACATCCATTTCCCGCTAACATTTGAGTGCTGTTGAGCGTTATTATGTTCAGATGCTCAACAGAAATGACTGTGATTGGCTCTGAAGGTCGTCAGTTCACTGAACTTATCTCTGTTTACTGAGTGTAACCACAGATAAAGGAACACTGGAGTGTTTCAAAGTCATGTCGATCAGCTGGTTTGTCTATAAGCTGACATACGAGTGATCCGCTTATGAATCGCTGCTTTAAAACGCGGTTTAAAAATTGCCATATAGAAAACGAGCTCAACAGCGCTGAATTGTTATCAAGAAATGGATGTTTTTAAAATTTCAGTATTGATTGGTCCTGAATTCCAGCATTGTTACAACCCTAACATCCTTAAATATTAACTAATAAGTTAATAAGTTTATGGAGTTCAAAAGTATTCATTAAGGGTTGTAAATAGAAATAATTGTACGTTAAAATAAAGTGTGACCGACTGATCAAATCACTCGGTTCAAATCCTACTTTAGCTAAAAAAAAATGCAGTTTATGCAGTTTAGATTAGGGCTGGGAGATCAAATGAACACCATTTACAAAATATACGTATTCAAAAATCGGATTATCAAATAGTTCACAATATAATCAAGACGATTGTCAATCCTTGCAGACAATGGAAAAAAAAAAAAAAAAAAGATAAATCATCAGGGCTGTAGTGTCATGTGATAAACCTGACATGTTGCCATTAAAACTATACATTCTAAATAATGGTCACAAAGAAATTCACACAGAAAATTTAACACTTATGTATGATAGGGTTACCATGTTTCTTTTTTTGTAGTACTGTGGTTTTGAGGCAGGATTGGGAAAAAAAAAGATTGTTATATTGTTAATTAATATTAAGTTATTAATGTAGAAATGCATTAAATGTTCTTATGGAGCAATGTATTATAATGAAAAGTAATTGTTGCTATTAATTCACAGTGTTTGTGCATTTGCATAATGTCCTCAAACTCAGGGAACACAAATCTTTTTCATGATTTAATATAGGGCTGCATAATATATAATTTCAGGTTCGATATCGCAAAATGCGCATCTGCAATAGTCACATCGCAGAATTTGCAATGTTGAACTGGTATTATAACTGACTGGGAGTTGTATTTGAAAACATTTACGATTGGCCACTATGAAAATGAGATGGACTATGAACTATGAGATGAAAACTATAGTGTTATTTTACATTTGATTATTAAATTTGTCTGAATTTTGCTAAATATCCAAAAAAAAATTAAAAAAAATGCAGCACTGTGCATTTTATTTGTACAGTATAATTATTTGCAGATGCTCTCCCCTATAAAAATCATGAAAATGCATTCTATTATATGAATCTGGTGAAATTATGCTCAATAATCGCAATATATATATATCGTAGAAACATAAAATATCGCAATGTCTGTTTTTTACAATATTGTACAGCGCTAATTTACTATTATCTGTTAGAACATGCATAAACTAAGAAGTTTTAGTTTTAGAAATACTTACTATGATAAACTCAGCACCTCAAATTTGTAAAAGTTTGCCTGTTTTTATTTATGTTTGACATATTTTGACAATTATCAAAGTTTACTTCTAGTGCACACTTAATTGCAACCTTTGGTCGACCAAGGTGCTGTACAATAGCAGTAGCGGGTAAAAAAAAAACAGCTATACACGACAATTTGAAAAAAATCTATATAAAACAATAGTAACAACAGTGAAAGTTTCCAAAAGAAGAAGCAATTTAGTATAGGCTTGAACCGCCATTAGGGAATATTAATTGCACTCGAAAAAAGTCTTTAACATCGATTTAAAAATAGATAGAGTGGTTGCTATTCTGATATTTAATGGTAACTTATTCTATAGTTTCGGACCCACAACTGCAAAGGCACTATCGCCCCTGCATTTGAGAAGAGATCAGGGTATTTGCAATAGATGGCAGTCAGAATTTGATCTAAGCGATCGGGTTTGGGCCTTGGTAGTGATCAGATCAGAAATTAACTGCCTGCTTTAACTCAGAGCATAAATCTGCATTAAAAGAAAAATTCTCTGACATTTATTGTGATAATTATCGACGTTAACTGATTCGAATTACTTTACTGTGATCATTTTCTTCAAATATCTCCCAGCCCTAGACCATTTCAAATGGTTTCAAATGGTGGTAGGAGACCCTCTCTTACAACCATTTGAATGCATGATGGATTGAATTTTCCAACCAATGGCAATGCAAAAACGAACAACATGGCATGAATGGATGGTGCAATGAACAACATGCCCATTAAGAACTTCAAAAGATCAAAACATCCAGGAATAACAGGGGATCTCAATCTTACCGATCTGACAGGTCTTTCCAACCCACTGCGGAGGACAGACACACTCAAAGCCATTTTCCAGGTCGATACATGTTCCGCCTTGCGCACACGGGCTGGAGGCACATTCATCCATGTCTGCAACATCAACACAAAATCATGTCACGTTCTGCAGAACATGCTTAATATGTGCTTTAAAATAACTGTTAGGCCTCTCGCATGAAAAAGAGCCATTACAGGATTTAGATGGCATAATATTATGGGATGTTTTCGGTTTCATCCATATTAACATTCAAACTGGGCAATTTTACACCCAGCATGGGTGTGCGGGTTATTTCACCGCCCACTACCCAACACACAGACACACACTCGCCAGATATATTACTAGAGAAAAGATCAGTGCTGCTGCAATGAAAAAAAATGATAGAGAGTAGGGCGATACATTATGACTGATGTCTGCGTTATTGTATATTTATATATTGCAACATAAATAAAATACAGATTGTGAAAATTTAAAAAGATTTTTTAAAAAGTGAATATTAAATAAGTTTATATGCGTTTAATGTCTTTTACATTCACAAAGGCTCCATTAACCATTTAACTGCCTGCTTGACTGTTTTAAATAATTATTGCTAAAGTCATTTAAAGAATGACTGTTTTAAATAATGGTTCACACACAGCATTGTTGGAGAAGAGGACATGTTTAATTCATCATTTTTTTTCCAAAAGCAGAGTAGACACTATCTGGGGGTTTTTAAACTGCAAATTTTCTCCAAATTTCTTTTTACTTCTAATCAAATAGCAGAAAAGAGCTTTGCTGAATTATGTAGTTTCCAGCTAATAAAAGAAATAAAACAAAAAATAACCTACTGTTAATTGGCAGTACAATTAAATGGCTATAGAGAAAGAGTTGGTAATGGTGTCAGCGTTTTCATCAGTGAAAGCATAGGCTTTTCTTTATGCAAGACAGTAACGCGATTAGAGTTTGATATAATCCAGGTCGCCAGGTTAGCTGCTATAAGAACACAAATCGTTACAGTTTTAATACGGCCACAAAGACACAAAGAACTGAGCAGCAGCCTTTTGTAATTTGGAGGAAAATAACAGGAAACAAAAACAAGAGAAATTCCTCCCTCCTTTCTTCTCCCTTTAGTCTTATACATATATTGTTGTGAATGGGGTGGAGCGGGGTGTGTAAAAGGGTCAGACAGGCAAGTGAAGAGAGAAGAGATGGGGGAAAACCTTTATGGGCGAAATCGTGGAGGGAGGGAGGGGTGAAGCGAATGTCCAAATTCCAGCAGGGGACCCTACTGTTGCTATGACGATGGAAACACAGCCCCATATGTGTGGTGGAAGAAACCGAGGAGGTAGGATGTAGAGAGAGTGTGAGAAATACCAAAAAATTAAAACACTGGGCATCCTGGAGGTGAGAAACGGATTCGCAAACGATCAAATTTGAGCTCAAGTGGGATGCTTTGTCAAACGGGAGGGGTGGAAGAGGAAGGGTAGCCCATGCCACACTGCGTTCTCAATTTGTGAAGCCAAATGCTAGTTCAAAGCGAAGACAGATTATGCAAATCCACCCCCCCTGTCTCAGTGATGGGTATCACCAGGCTTTAATCCTGGACCCGTAACAGCTCAAACTCATCGGCCCCGTGAAGGGACCCTGCTGTGCTGCCAAGATCCAGGACTGGCTTCCCCTGACATGTACCTGACACATCCCAGCATGACGAGCAGCCAAGCAGCACTCGGGCAACAGCATCTGGACACATGTGGGGAGGGGACGGGCGTCTGTGCTCTAGTCTAAGTCTATAACTAGGTCTCCAGACTGAACAGATTGACACACAGAAGAAGTCTGAGAGGAAGGTGCACAAAAGCTTCACGTACCTTTAGCGCAAGTGGGACCCTCCCAGCCTGGTGGACAGTGGCACTCGAATCCGGTCGGGACTTCATGACACGTGCCTCCGTTTGCACAGGGGTTTGATACGCATGCATGTTCAGCTGCAAGAAATGCAATGATGTGTTTGATATATTTATTGTTGACGACTATCATTGAAAGCTACAACAATTAACACTATATCAAGTGGAAAATACCATACACGCGTAAATCAATCCTCCATATTCCCCTGCAGTTTTACACTTATCCACTACGACTGCTTCCATTCATTTATCTATGAATCCATCAGCCTATCCATTGATTTGTAGAGATGTCCAAATCCGGTCACATGATCGGAAATCGAGCCCAATCACGCAGTTTCAGACTAGATTGAACGTTACCTCCTGATCAGGACTCGAGTATATATGTACATACTGTATATATTCTCATTTTTTACAGATCATAGTTTTCCGATGGCACAGAGTTAGTATTATGTCTTGACTTCACACAGAAACAGCAATGCGTGCAGCATGACATCACATTGTTGCAGAGACGCTATTGGTACAGAGATTTTACCGTCTTTACTTTATCACCACAGCCACGTGTCAGTACAATTATAAAATAAGATGGTTTAATCATGGTTTATGGATGCTAAATCAGGTTTAACATAACAAATATCCATACAGCAGTGGATAATAATGTGTATCTGGTCATGAGTGTATCATGAGTGTATCTGTGACTCATCATTGCAGAAAGGCTTGACTTGACTCCACAACAAATACATCAAATAATCATTGGGCAAGTTCTTACTTTAGTATTTCTCACAAACGTTACAAGAGATCTGCTTCCTTTATGTCTGTCACTGTGCTGTTTATATGACGCAGCCGAGGTGGAAATTGAGGCACACTCTGACAGCCACGTGGGAACGGTGGGTGAGGAAAACTAGCATTAAAGGCACAGGCAATAAAAACAGCTACATTTTGTTTAGAGGAAAAAAAATAAATAAATCACATTATTTTAAAAAGTATAATAAATAATCTGATGGGTGTTTTGAGTTGAAACGTCAGACACATTTTGGAGACACAAAAGAATCATCTTGAAAAAGAGGTAAAATAGGTGCCCTTTAATAGTTTTGTATGATTATTTTGTTTTGTAGATTGTGTGCAGATTGTTTTGTACACTGAATTCTCAGTGGGACTCTTCCTGGCTAAATAAATAGATAACTCATCTGCCCATTCATGTCTTTAATCCGTTTTCTATTTATTCACCAAACCCCCCTTTTGTAACCTATTTTTCTATTCATCTATCCATTGATCTCTACATCTATTTATGCATCTATAGATTCATGTATTAATTCATTCATCTACTTATCCTTTCAACACTCCATGTCTTAAACTCATTTACTTATCCATTCATTCCATATTTTAAATGGCTCAATCTGTCCACTAATCAATACTCTAATCTCTACATACGGATGCATCCATCAATTTCCATTCATCCAATATTGCATCCCTTCAGTGGTCAATCAATCCACCAACGCCTTCATTTATCCATCAATCTTACCTATCTCACAGTTCTTGCCAGAGTAGCCTTCGGGACAGGCACAGTTATATTCATCCGGTTCAGAGTTCATGCAGGTTCCACCATTGACACAAGGATGATGCGTGCCGCAGTAGTTCAGATCTGAAGGGACACAAAACGCAATGAATGTCTTTACTTTCATAGGCAATGGGGCAAATAAAGACTAACCCTGTATTTGTAGAGTTTGTTTAGTCCTACATTTACTGAAAACAGTTGGCAAAACTATTGCTTGGCTCCCAGCAGGCCTTGTAAGGCAAGGCCGAGCACATAAAGGCTAGTAAATAAATAAACAGAACTGTAGGCACCTCTCAGCTGCTTCTCATTCCTAAGCACCTTCCAGGACATACGCTGACCGACGGATCAGATATCCGAGCGCCACTCCAATCACAACCACAATATCCAGAGTACGTGTTTGTGTGTGCGCGTTGTCACATGATGCGCAGCCTGTGCTGACATCGCAGCCAACAAACCAGCTCAGTGTAAGATGCTGTAATTCTATTTAACACCATGATATGAATTCGCTGCCTTGGCACCTCCACGGCTGCATGTTCACAGGCTTAACCAAATCATTCTGATCTACTGCTGACCATTTTTATGGGTCAATTCCAGGTTGACCTCAATTTTTCAAAACTAACTAGGTCACATTTTCAGCATCAGTGTGTCAGCTGCATTCAGGACCCTTACCTTTATCGCAGAGGAGGCCGCCCCAGTTCTTCTCACAAGTGCATTGCCAGGGCATAACACAGGTACCGTGCAAACAGCCAGGATAAGGTAGACACTCGTCGCAGAACTGCCCCTGCCAGCCGTAGTTGCACCTGAAAACCACATGACCTTGTTAATGCTTAAAGAGCTGTACAACTGTGACATCTTAATGACAGACAGGAATAAACATACAGCTGCACATCTCTGCGCTGACACCTAATCTTAGGACAAGGCGACATTCCGGGCGACAAAGGTTAAGAACACTTTCGCGATCGTGCACAGATGCATACTCCCCCCTTCGGACGGTTGAGTCGCAGAGGGAAATGCTGCAGAGGGGTTAACTAATCATTGGTTTACAGCAACACTCCGCTATTCCAAGGCCAGTGGTGCGCTCTCGCCATCCCCCACCACACCCCTCACCCAGCTGTCTTGTCATTTCTGAGCAGGCTATTTTAAGACGGCTCTCCTGCAGAAGAGGTATGGCCTAACTCCAGCTGCCAAGCAGAGAGACGCTGTCTGCATATTTCGACCTCAGCGCAAGGAGGGAGACAGTAATGGGTTCGATTGGAAATACCACAAAACTTACAGTGCTTCTACTAATAATAAAAGTATGTTTGACCTTTAATATATGAACATTTTATTGCAAATGAAACTTCATTCATTAACAGCATGTGTGCATTAGGTATTATGAAATAGCTATGAACAATACATTTCAAAATAACTGGACTAACATTAGCTTACAACAACTCTACAAGCATTTAAGGTAAAAAGCAATGATGTTTACTAAATACTAAATAAGGCTTGGAGGAGGTGGGCGAAGTGGATTTGGCCACTGCATACACACCTGGCACATTCTCCGCATGGAGGCCTTGATCCAAATCCACTTATAACATCTCCAATGAGGTCTCTGAAATAGCCCCCTAGATCTGTACCCAAGGGGCAAGCCAGAGGCTGGATTACTTACACCAGAGTGCACACAGCCTCACGCTGCCCAGTAACAACCTTACTAGTATTGTATGAAAGAGCATGTAGGCAGCAGAGTGTGTGGGGAGAGTCTGAACCCTGCCTGCGCATGGGGGCGTTCAGCTCTGCTGAGCGCTGCCAAACATAAGCTCGCTCACTAACTCACTCCAAACAGAAAGTTGCATTGCATCGACTTTTATGTGTCAGGACATGTCCAATACAACCACCAAAACTTAAATCATAAATCTGTTGCATAGGCTTACAGTGGCTCCATGAATTTATTATTTTTATTTTTTAAAAATGTCAACCATACTATAATGGACTTTGTTTACATGCCTATCTGGTAATTTTATTATGCTTAAAAACAGATTTTGAGGAGAAAATGTAAACAGCAACAGTGCTGTATTTAAACATATAGTGTAACAAATATGTGCAAGTAAGTAATGTGTATTTATGTAGTGCATTTACATAGACCCAAATTGCTTCGCAATCATGGGTGGGTGGGGGGGGGGGTCCTCTATACACACCACCAGTGTGCAGCATCTACTTGGATGATGCAACAGCAGCCAAATATCAATGGCACCAGTGCGCTCACCACACACACCAGCTATTGGTGGAGTGGAGAAACAGTGGTACAGTCAATTCGGTGGATGAGTATGATTGGGAGGCCAGAATGGTTAAGGGCCAATTGAGGGAATTTGGTGAGGACACCGGGGTTACACCCTTACTCTTTACGACAAGTGCCATGGGATTTTTAATGACCACAGATAGTCAGGACCTCGGATTAAAGTCTCATCCGAAAGATGCCGCCCACTGACAGTATAGTGTTTTCTTCATTTTACTGGGGCATTAGGACTCACACAGAACAAAGGTTGAGCGCCCCCTTCTGGCCTCACTAACACCACTTTAAACCGCAACCTAGTTTTCCTGTGTGGTCTCCCATCCAGGTACTGGCCAGGTTGAGCCCTGCTTAGCTTCAGTGAGTACACTGCAAAAAATGCTTTTCATACTTGGATTTTTTGTCTTGTTTCTAGTCCAAGTATCTAACAATTCCTAAATCAAGAAGAATTTTCTAGACAAGCAAAACATGCTGTCTTGTTTTGAGAAATAATATGCCAATATTAAGTGAGTTTTTCCGTAAAACAAGCTAAATAATCTGCCAATGGGTTAAGCAAAATAATCTTACGTCAAAAGAAAAAACAAGATTAATTTGCTAACCCCATTGGAAGATTGTTTTGCTTGTTTTAAGGAAAAACTCACTTAATATTGGCATTTTATTTCTCAAAACAAGACAACATGTTTTGATTGTCTAGAAAATGCTTCTTGATATAAGAAATTTTAGATATTTAGACTAGAAATAAGACAAAAAATCAAAGCAAGAAAAGCATTTTTTTACAGTGTAACCGGTCTTGGCCTGCAGGGTGATATGGCTGAGGCCCACGTGACAAACTATCCTTTAAAAAAAAAAAAAAAAAAATTCATATTTTTGCCTTACGATAGGACAGTGCATTTTAACAGAAAGTGAAAGGGCAAAGCCTGTTGAAAGCAAGACTTAAATGATTAGCTTAAGAAGCATAATGGCTGATGCTAATGCTGTCTCTATAGCTGTAGACAGGTAAGGAGAAAGTCGTGTGATTGATTCATCTGACCTAGTTAGTGATACAAATTTTTCCAATGGTAAGAAATGCATTCATTTTATTATCCCATAGTTAGAAAATCTCTGTAAAGGGAGGATGGGATCGTGAAACGTCCTCAAGTCAGGATACAAACTTAGTTGCACTATTTGTCAACGCACTGGCCCCATCCTTGTTTTCTACAGTTACAAAGCATATATAAAATCCAGTCTTCTTGCTTGGTTAGACTTTCATTTCCTTATCTCTATTAGTAAGCAATGTCTGTAAAATATTTGTGTAGTGTTGAACAATCTAACCAAACAGAGGTATATCCGTAGGTCTCTTTATGCAATGGCGAATAAGAGGTGTTATGTTACTATTATGTCATATTATGTTAATTCTCTTCTATTATAGTTCTATTCAGCACGCTACACACTAGCAAACAAAGTTCAAATGCTGTGAGAAATTCATGCTGCAATGCAGAGCACTAAATAAAGCATTACAGCTGTATAATTGTACGTATTACAGTATTACAATGAAACTTTGTGAGTTCCCAATAACCTAAGATGAATGACAGCTTTGCAGAGATTATAAGAACAGCACACTTTCTATGGTATAATCCATTTGAAATTAATTAATTTATCAAATCATCCTCAAAACTGTAATGATCGACATACAGTAGCAATAACAGTAAATCCAACATTGTCTCTTCCCATAAAGTAAAGTGTACTACTTCAGTTAAACAGGTGAAAAAGAAGCAGGTCTGACCTGGAGTTATTAACTAGAAATAAGGACTAATTAGCATATTCAAAGCATACTCAACACATACTATATGAAGATAGGGTATAAAATTACACATGTAAATTTATTATCATGAGGATAAAATAACGTAAAAATGAAACCAAGTCTATACTTTTAGGTTTAGCAATAATAACCCAACGATTCTGCAGCCCACTAATGTATCCACTGGTTAACTGTGATTAAACTCTGACAAACTCAGTCCTCTAGTCTCCACCTCCTTCCTTCCCAGGACTATCAAGCTAGTGACGGCAGGAAAGCGAGTCACTACATCCTGCTGGGGAGTGAGGCTTACAGAGCTTCCCAAATACTTCAACTCTGAAATAACCTATTGGCTTCTGTTTTCTAGCCAGGAGCTCTTTCTTACAGGCCATCCAGAGGCTTGAGTACATGGTGTCCTTAGGCATGTTTTTAGCCCACTGTCCCTTGAGGCACCACTCTTGGCCTTTCTAAAAGCCTGACACAGAAAATTCCCATGTCCTTTTTAACCACCCAGGTCTCACAGCAGGTAAAGAAGCGGAGAAGAATGAAGGAAGGTATCTGTTCTCTGCAGTGGTGAACACTGGAAAAAGGATGCCTCTATTTGTTGTAAATAGATTACAGCATGTCATCATCACTATTTTCGTGATATTGGACTTAGTAGGGTTGAAGGTGGCATGGGGAAAAAATGGCTTTCTTCATGCCAAAGACTGGAAGCTTTTCCTTTGGCAAAGGAAGAGGGCAGAGCCAAGCTACAGGAAGAGAATGTGAGGAGAATGTGATGTGGAATGGTAAGGTGGATTTCACGCTGAGCTCCAGCACAGGAAGCATCAGAGTTTCCTGTGACAGCAAGAGCAAAACACCACCATTTCACATCCAAAACACAAGGCATGATGGGACACTGAGATTTGGGCTTTCTTGAAGCAACCAAAATGTGTTCTGTATTATTGTGAGTTCAATATACTCAACATTAGGTCCTTGAAAAAAAGAACACAAAGGTCCACAGATATAAATTTCTAGTCTATTTTTTTGATCACTTATTGTAACTGCTGTTACATATACACTGTGGTATTATATGACAAATTGTGAAGGGTTTTCAAACTGTTAAAAGGTACAAAAACGATTAAAGATATGTCATATTAAACTTGTACATTTTACCATCTTCAAAACACAAATTTTAGTAAAACCTGATTTGTCATTCGACCAAGTTTTCAAAAAGAGATCTTTAAAGTAATCCATATAAACTAAGCAGTTAATGTCTGAAGAGATATGATCCTTTTACAGAATGAACCAATTTAATTTAGTCATCATTTAGCCAGCATAGAAATATTGATCAATGCACATGCACTCGCCGGCCACTTTATTAGGTACACCTTACAAGTACCGAGTTGAACCCACTTTTGCCCTCAGAACTGCCTTTATCCTTCAGGTCATAGTTTCAACAAAATACTAGAAATATTCCTCAGAGATTTTGGTCCATATTGACATGATAGCATCAGGATTTGTCCGCTGCACATCTATGATGCAAATCTCCTGTTCCACCACATCCCAAAGGTGCTCTATTGGATTGAGGATCTGGTGACTGTGGAGGCCATTTGAGTAGAGTGAACTCATTGTCATGTTCAAGAAATCAGTCTGAGATGATTCACGCTTTATGACATGGAGCGTTATCCTGCTGGAAGTAGCCATCAGAAGATGGGTACACTGTGGTCATCAAGGGATGGACATGGTCAGCAACAATACTCAAGTTCGCTGTGGCGTTGACACAATGCTCAATTAGTACTAATGGGCCCAAAGTGTGCCAAGAAAATATCCCCCACACCATTACACCACCACCAGCCTGAACCTTTGAGGTTACAAGGCAAGATGGATCCATGTTTTCATGTTGTTGATGCCAAATTCTGACCCTACCATGCTAATGTCACAGCAGAAATTGAGACTCATCAGACCACGCAATGTTTTTCCAGTCATCTGTTGTAAAATTTTGGTAAGCCTGTGCGAATTGTAGCTTCAGTTTCCTGTTCTTGGCTGACAAGAGTGGCACCTAGTTTGGTTTTCTGCTGCTGTAGCCCATCCGCCTTAAGGTTCGACATGTTGTGCATTTAGAGATGCTCCTCTGCATTTCTTGGTTGTAACAAGCGGTTAGTTGAGTTACTGTTACCTTTCTACCAGCTCAAACCAGTCTGCAGTTGGACCTAATAAAGTGGGCGGTGAGTGTGTATAGAGAACACAAAATATGTTGTAAAGTGTGTTTCCTATATAGTGTATTTATTGTGTATGGTCGTAAACCCAAAGCTCTTTTCAACGGTGTGAGGGGCAGTGAGACTGTTCAACAGTTCTGTCAGAAGTTTTGATGAATTGACATTTAAATGTATACAATGCATACAGTATTAAAAATGCTGTATTGTTAATGCTAGTTAAAGTATTTACTAACATTAACAAACAATGAACTATACAATTATTAAAGTATTTATTCATCTTTGTTAATGTAAACAAAGTTTTTTAATTGCTAGTTTCTTTTTAAATCACAGTACATTAATAATGTTAACTTGCAAGAACTTAAATTTTAATATTGCATTAGTAAATGATTAGTATTCTTCAGTCTTTGTCAGTAAACAACTTGTTTAGCATTAACTAATACATTCCTGTGTTGTGTGACTATTACTTTTTTTCTTTTAGTAGTTCAATAGCACTCTCTCTCTCTTGTCCTAGTTGGATTTATACAGTGGCTCCTCATGGCTCACGCTGCCCAACTGTTTGCAGTGTCCCTCTCTGACGTCATTACATGGTCTCCAATGCAGCCGCTGCCACAGTGGCATAAAAGTGATGACAGGATGCTACTTAGGCCCTCGGGACACTTAAATTTTTGTGATGTGTCAGTGAATTCGCAAGTCATTTTCAGTGTGTGTTACAGTTTGGTACTGTATACGTCCACTTTTATTTGTCTATTATTATTATTTGTCCATTTGTCTACCATCAGTGTTACACACATCTGAGGTTGGAGAGTGGGCCAGGTAAGAATGTCGTGCGACATCCATTGTGCACACATAGGCTTTGAATATGACTTTTGTTAGACACACTAGGCTTTTTCTCTTACCTTAGTGTAGATTTTCTTCTCTATATTGATATATTTTTCTTTTGGATTGTTAAGGTAGAGGTTGGGCCAGTAGAATGGCTTGTTTTGTTTCATTTATTTTTATTGCTTGGATGCCGCCCGCATGTCATCTCTCCAATTCCTTCATCTATCTGTTCAAAAATTTTGTTTCCCATTTGTTGTCTGTCAATATATTTTTGTAAATATTTACTGTTTTTTTTCATATACATATTTTTGCACTTATTATTATCATTATTTTTGTAAATAAACTCACTTCATTGCATTTAGTTAGTCTTGGTATTTTGTCCTTCACTTGTTGATATTGTGTGTTTGCTTATGTGTTTCACCCAAAATTAATGTTAATCTCTTTCTCCTGCACTGACAATCTTTAAGATTGTAAACATTGCAACCTCATTGTAAAGTGTGATCCAAAAGTCTTTATTTTGTTTTAAAGGGCCATGAAACCCCCTCGTTTCAGCAGGGTGTTTTCACACCTCTACTTTGGAAAAAGTAAGGAAAATGGGCGTGTCCAGCTTTGTTTAGGGGGGAGTGTCGGAGAAAGAAAAGAGGCATGGTGTGGGAGTGTCTATTTGGGCGCGCTGACTTTTCGACATGTTTCTCGACAAAAAAATGTGTTTTGGTGTTTCGTGACCCTTTAAATATAATTGAAAATGCATTTGAGGCAATATGGAGGCTATAAAGTGTTTATCATATTTTTTTTTGTTTAGTTTTTGGTTAGCTATCCATTTTGAGCATGAACAACAGTGCTAGTGACGCCTTCAAGTATTTAATCTAATCAAATGACAATCAAATCATAACTTTTTAACGCTACAGCATGATTTTTTAAAAAGCACAATAAACAAAAACTGCTTGCGCAAACAATGTCCTCACTGCGCTAATTAATTAATAGCAAGGTAAACAAATGAAAAGACCTTATCAGCATGAGCACATATGGCCCTGCTGAAATTAAGGAGCTAGATTAGCCGGGCCAACCGACCATGAAATGATGCTCAGACACTTACTTGCATTCTCCAGGCACCGCACAGCCTCCGTGAATCAGATTACAGCCCTGCTTGCAGATCGCTGAGAGAGAAAGAGAGGGGAGGAGGGAGGAGAGGTCAGTCTTGTTTGTTTGTGTTGCCTTACAAGTGCGACAAGATAAATTCATCATGCTCGCCGTGACAGAAGACAACTTTATTGCTCAAACACACACATGCGCTTGCCCCCGTCCACCCCTGCTACGCCCACCTACTCGTACCCTCCCTCATTAAGATGGTGTCTGGTGATTTACTGCCTTTCTTTAGTGGTGTATATGCACACATACAGACTTATAGTGTTGGAAAAGAAAGGTGTTTAGGTTGCCTGCAGTGGTGGGTTGAAGAAATCAAAAACCCTAGCATCACCCAGATTAATTGAGCTAATGGAAAGTGTGACTCCAGAGGTGTCGTTTACAACACAATCTCACCTCCAGGCAGAGAAGCAAAGATCGCAGGGCTGTGAAAACACTGATAGCAGCAGGTCTCTTTACAGGGTGGTAAAGAGCCAGATTTAACAGGGTTCGTCTCGATGTACACTTCAAGACATTTGTCAGCCCTAGTTCAGCCGTCATCCTTCATCAAGGGCAATGTGGCTAATAATGCTTTGTAAGATATTGGGGAGGCTTGACCTTTCATTAAACTGCTAATTTTCTAAATTGATTTCCATTATTTTCACTGTACAGTGCTCAGCATAATTAAGTACACCCCATTTTAAAAATGAATATTTTTATCCATTTTTGAGAGACAATATTAAGTGTATTTTGGTTCATTTAAACAAAACAGATTTATTAAACATATTCATTTATTAAAATACTATTTTAGTCACCAAACATATTTAGAAATTGAAAGATAATTTAATTAAATTCAAGCAAAATATTGTGAAAAAAATACAGACTACAAAATTTCAAATAATTTTTCATTTTTTTGCTTCTCTAGATTTTTCCTCTTTTTAAAATTAGTATTTAATATTTTTCTATAACATATAAGTTTGGGTGTACTAGTTTTTGGACCATTATCTGAAGTCATTTTGTTAGATAAGCTTCAGATTTGTTAGATAAGATTCCAGATGTATATGCACAAATATAACATTGTATAGCTTCCGATTAAAAATAGGAATTTAAAAGATAGATTTGTGGGGGGTATACTTATATATGCTGAACACTTTATAATAAGAAGCTGTGATGGCCAAACTCACTTGCATAATTTGAAACAACAAGTTTACCGTTTAACTAAAATGATAGTTTACCCAAAGGTGAAAAATCTGTTATCATTTACTCACCATTTATTTATTTCAAACCTGTTTGAGTTGCTTTCTTCGATTGAACACAAAAGCAGAATGTTTGCAGAAAGCAGGAATCTCAATGGTTACAGGTTTTCAGCTTTCTTCAAAATATATATTTTTTGGGTTCGATAGAAAAAGAAATTCATAAAGGTTTGAAATTAAAACCCCTTGAGAGAGAGTAAAGTGAGTAAATGTTCATTTTGGTTAAAATTACTTGAAATAGAACAAAAAATGTAAATACAATTCATTATTAAAATAAATAAAAACAAACTATTGAATCAAAAATGACAAAAGCTAAAATAAATAAACAATAAAAACCTAGTACAATTATTTATAAATACATAGTATGTAATTTATTTATTTATTTATTTATTTATTTATTGCCACATTAGCAACTTATGGCAATTTCATGCCAAAATGCATACACATAAAAATATTAAATGATAAAAACAAATTCATATTACAATAAATAGTTACTTAGACAAATATATATAAGATAGAAATAAATTAAATGTACACACAAATGTTCAAAATTAAATATTTTTTCTGTTTAATTTGTGATAAATAATTTAAGATTCTTCCTGGTGGTACTTTTTTTTTAAAAGTCCAAAGTATTCACCTTATAAAAATGTTGTCTAATGGTATTCAAGTTCCACATTTCAACAAAATATGTTTTACGGTAAGAGCAGCCTGGCAGTAATTACATTTAGCTGGTGCTTCTTTATTCAGTAAATACAAATGAGTCAACCTAGAATGTCCAATTCAACATCTAGTATAGACAGTTTGATCATGCCTGGTCTCAAAACTATAATAAAGAGTCTTTTATTTATTTTTGCATTAATTTCAAGAAATTTATTATTAATGCAGTTGTCCCATTCCCTTTGCCATGTTTTGTTTATGAACAAATTAATTGTAGGTTTCAAGTCCTCAAGAGGAATTAAACATTGTCATTTTCAAGGAGATAGCCTGTATTGCTGCTTCATCTACTTAGTCTGTAATAGTATCGTTAATAGTATAATACACTATAAAAACAATGCTGGTGGCCTTAACCTTATGAGTCCATTGAACTTATATTGTGTTAAACTGATCTGAAACAGCTTGCAAAACTTATAAAATTACATTAGAACATGATTAACTTATTTTAATAAGTTACCATAACCTAAAAACATATGCTGTCAGGACTAATTGAACATATAATTTTTACAATGTATGTAACAGTATTGAAAACACTGGTCACGTGTTTTTACACAGACAAAATAATAACAAAGAACTTGAAGTATGAATATTATCCATGTTTTCTTCATTACTTTTTCCCACTACTGGGTTGCGGCTGGATGGGCATCCGCTGTGTAAAATATATGCTGGAATAGTCGGTGGTTCATTTTGCTGTGGCCACCCCTGATAAGGGACTAAGTCGAAGGAAAATGAATGAATGTATATAACTTAAAACTAAAATGCAAAGCACAAAACAAAGATGGTCAACGTCACCCACCTGTCCGACAGTCCTCTCCCATCCAGCCATCAAGACACACAATATTTCCAGATGGATCGCATCGGTAATGACCGAAGTAGTCATCTCGTGGGCGACACTGTTTGTTGCACTTACTCCCATAGTAATTCTCATCACACCTGACACGGATGCGGTACTCAATGTGGGCCGTGATGCCAGGGTGCCGGATGGACTGCCAGTGGTCGCCGGGGTTTACCATGCTTGCGTGAATGTGCCGTTCGATCAAATTTTCTTCACCATCTGCAGAAAAAGGAAATAATTAATTAATATACAACCTTATTTCTTTCTAGGTATGGGTCATGACGACAAATTAGCAATTAACATTTACTGTTTATTTTGCTATTTTAACATAGTTAAATACAAGAAAATGTAGCAATATATTACCTAATAAATGAAACAAAAAAAAATACACAACACGTAACTTACTTTTCCCGTTAATCCCCATGTGTGAGACAGAGCTAAAACTCATTTACACAACCAGTACACTGTGATGGCAAATGGGTGAATGTAGATCAGCTGTAAGACAGCAGACAGGACAGACCCTGATTTAAAGCTATAAACTCGCTAGTGACTCACACTGTCCTTTCTCTGCCAGCTTCCTGCCTCACAAATCCATTCAGACAAATCACTGCACAACAAAAAGACACTCACACATGAATGACACCACTGCCAAAACAAAGGGCTCTCAGTTAACCATCTGAAATCAAGTAATTTATTAGCTATCACTACAGCGTGTTTTCATTTCAACCTATCGTCTTGTTAAAGGGATAGTTCAGATGAAAATGAAATTTATGAAAATGATGTATTCCCCGTTAAGTGGGTTCAAACTTTTATTTCTTCCGATAAATAAAAAGAAGATATTTTGAAGAAATCTGAAAGCCTGAAACAATTGATTTTCATAGTAGGACAAACAGATAGTCATTAGCTATGTTTCTATCCAACTATTGTTCTGCACGTTTTGGATATGCCCTTAAAAAATAAAAAAATGAAAACAAATTTTGAAAATGCGCATCAAAAACATATGCACATAACTGAGTAGGACAAAAAATAAATAAAAGATGCGCATAATGGAAACACTTTTACCAAACATTTTCCAGTATGCACATAAAAAAAATGGTAAAGTGATTTTGTTGTAAGAGATCATGTGATAATAAAAAAATGTGTGTGAACGGACAAACCAGCAGGCTGAGCACATTGTAAAACATCTGATATGTTGTTTTGGTCATTCTAATGCTGTGTTCACACCACATGCTACGCACGGATAAATTCCCCTATTCGTGCGTAAATAGATGCAGGAACATTTTGGGTTTACTTGATTCATTCGCGTGTCAAATTCACTTCACAACACACATTTTCACAGTATTTCCTATAATATTTTTTTCGTCTGGAGAAAGGCTTATTTGTTTTATTTTGGCTAGAATAAAAGCAGGTTTAAATATTTCAAAACCTACTTTACCAATTCTATATTATTAGTTCCCTTAAACAACATATATTTTTGATTTTCTGCAGAAGAAACTACTGTTATACAATGACTTGCCTAGTTACACTAATTAAGCCTTTGAATGTCACTTTAAGCTGAATACTAGGATCTTGAAAAATCTCTAGTAAAATATTATGTACTGTCATCATGGCACAGATAAAAAAAATCTGTTATTAGAAATTAGTTATTAAATATGTTATGTTTAAACTGTGCTTTATAATAATAATAATAATAATAATAATACATTTTATTTAAAAGGCGCCTTTCTAGCAACTCAAGGACACCGTACAATCAACAAGAGCAATAAAACAACAAGAGAAATAATAAAATATACACAGCAATAGTGCAGATAAAATTAAGTATTAAAAGCCATCTTAAATAAGTGGGTTTTGAGTCTTGATTTGAACAGTGTGAGGGAGTCAATGTTTCTGATGGCAGGTGGTAGTGGGTTCCAAAGCCGCGGAGCAGAGCGGCTAAATGCTCTGTTGCCCATAGTTGAAAGGCGAGAAGAGGGAACAGACAAGTGGAGAGAGGAAGAAGATCGCAGGGTGCGAGAAGGAACAGAAATGTGGACGAGGGCAGACAAATATGGAGGGGCGAGATTGTGGATGGCTTTGAATGTTAACATCAAGATTTTAAAGTCAATTCGAAAATGAACATCTTCACTGTAAGAAAAACACTTCAGCTACAAAAGTCCTTCAGTCAAGAGAAATGCCGCTAAAAGAGAAAACTCCTGATTGGTTAACGTGAATTGAATGTCCGCTAAAGTTCAGACTTACCAACTTGAAAGAGTCGCATCATTCCACCACCTTATTCGTGCATATCACGCTGCAGGATGTCTATTTGCGTCTTTGTATCAACTCAACATGTAAATTGCTCGTGCTTGACAATTCTTCTGCGTCTGGTGTGAACGCAGCATAAAAAAACCTTAACCGTTTCAGTATTAATTGTCAAGAGCGGCTGTGCCCCACATCTCACGCCTTCTACCACCACTATTGGTTTATTACATGTCGGCAATGTCTTCTGAGATGCAAGTCATTTATTAAACGAAGAAAAGATTCACACAGATTCTCCTACTGCTGCCAATTCCATTTTTACGGTTGATTTTTGACACCAGTTTATCAGGGAGTGACAATTTTGTTCTCTTTGACTCATTGGATAGAAAACGCTGCTTTAATTGCACATCTTTTATGCATAATCCATTTTTGCACATAAATTTAATTTGAATCTTTGGATGGACACAAAGCTAATGTTTACAAGCTTCTAGCTTTCTTCAGAATATCTTCTTTTGTGTCCAACAAAAGAAACTCAAAGGTTTCAAACAAGTAAAAGATGAGTAAATGATGACAGAATTTTCAGTTTTCGTTGAACTATCCCTTTAAAACAATGGTCTCAAACTCAATTGCTGACGGGCCACAGCTCTGCAGAGTTTAGCTCCAACTCACACCTGTTTAATAGTCTCTAGTAGTCTTGAAGACCTTGATTAATTGATTAATTGTGCTTGACTGATTTCTGGAGGGTCGCAGCTCTGCACAGTTTTGCTCCAACCTTGAGTTTGAGACCTATTCTTTAAATTGTCTGCAATTATCATTTTTACATGTATTATACTGTAGGGCCTGAGGTGTGAGATGAGGTGATAAAATGTTCAAAATCTAAAAACTTTTAAGGGTTTGGACAGTAACCTCACCACAACTATCTAAACACACATCGAACACTCTTATCAACTGCATTAAAGCACCTCATCATCATTGCAGCAGCTTGTGCAAGCAATTTCTCGTGTGTTGTAGTCAAAAATGGAGTTGTTCTAATAAAAACACTGATGTCTGGCCGGAGGGAGGGGTGTGAGTTTGACTGCTGTTACCAGGGAGATCTGGGCAAGAGCAGCAGGCAGAGGAAGCCACTGGTCTCCATAGCCGGCGACTTTCAGCTCTTAGCCCAAGCCGTCCTTGAAAGACTTGTATCCCACCCTAGTCCTAATCATCAAGTACATTGTCCAGGTCCACGAGGACACGGACCCTCAGCACGAATCCCTCCTGCTACTGAGAGCGGTTAGCGTTCACATTAAGAGCTCCATTTTCCCAAGCTTTCCCAGCCTCTCTGCAAAGAAAGCAATCTTTATCGCAGTGGGATCGGAGACGGTGAACAATCACGGTGGAAACGGGGGGCCTGCGATTTCCTCTGTCCCGACGCGGACAGCGCGTCCGCGTCTTTCTCCTCTTGCAAACACACATGCGGGGCGCACATACACATACCTTCCTCCCCGTCCCCTGACAATGTCGACCGAATTAAGCAACAAAAACAGAAATAGCCCTGGCGCTTCCAGATAAAGAACAATGGAGCGAGCTTTTGCCGGCCCATTCTGCCCAATGTCTAAACACTGGGCAGTCCTGAGCCCTTCCTGCAGAGTAAACAATGCTACAGGACTTTTCCTGCGGCCTGCAGGGCCCTACGGGGAACACGTACACATGTGAACCACTCTGACAGATCATTTCAGGCATCGATGAAAAATGCATGCTTGCTAATTATATCGGTTCAACTAGAACAACGTCTCCAAGTGTCCAGGCTAAACTTTATTCGCCCCAGCAAAGGAATGAGAGAGATATTTTTTGCCCTTGGGTTTCTGACAGACAGACAAGGAGGCGTGGAGACGTGTCCGGTTTAAGAAAAGAGGTGCGGCAGCTCTGAGCGTTCACACTGCATACTAAACAAGTAGTATCAAACGGCATTGGAGAGAGGAGGATGCTTTTGTTGCCAAGCCTTGAGTGAGTACAGACTGCAGATAGTCGCATCAGACAGACCTTGGCAGCGTTTTCTCTCTATGACAAGATCATTAATGTCTGGCATGCCTACTCTACTATGGGCTCATGTGATAAATGAAGCCACTGTCTCAAACAGAGCCCTGCCAAGTCAATGAGGGTGCTCCAGATCATCAAAGGGAGCTGGTCAGTTTCAAGCATTTCTGATCAATGGTCACCATTGCTTCAGGAGAATACTACTGTAAGCCTAAATCCTCATTTATAATAAATCCTATATACTTAATAAATAATGAAATAATTAGTGCTGTTAAACGATTAATCACATTCAAAATAAACTATTCATATAAATACAGTACAAAAATGCTAATATTTTTATATTATACAATACTATTAATGAAATGAATATGTAAACTGAGTTTATACGTTTACACTAGGCATGGGCCAATATAAGAATCTGACGGTACAATTACCTTGAAAAAAAAAATCACGGTTTCACGGTATTGTGATTACGGCTCTAAAATATATTCTTTTTATATGTCTGGGAAAAAACAAAAAACTTTTTTTCCCTTTGAACACAATATATTTTATTTTGAGAAACATTTAAAAGTACTTTGTAGCAGTAAACATATCAGGCTAAATAATCAAAATAAATCATTGACTCCTGCTGTCTTCATTCGTTTTTAAAACACAGATTTCTTTACAGTTTAAAATGGCACTTTTGGGGACCTTTTCTGCAGAAGATACCTTTCTCCTTAAAACATTAATAAAAAAGGTAAATAAAATATCTTACATATATCATAAGAATGGTATAGTAGAAAATTTCAGCATTTTTATAACCTTGACTTTTCCAAACCGTGGTATACCCTGAACACTGTTCTCTTTCCATGCCTAATTTACACACATTTAAATAACAAACAAATCAACTACATGCTACATCAACTCCGGGTGCACTGCCTAGTCATGCTAAGTGTATTCCAGATGAATAAACTCAGAAGAGGCCTACAAGATGGCCGAGTCACCTCAAATGAGTGACTGTACGTTTACATCGAAGGCGACAAGAGAATTAAAGTTTTCAATGGCCGCCCTGGCCACAATGCTGTCTGCCTCTACTGCCCTGCCAGTGAGAGCATCAAAAATTACTACATTGATTCCATTTTTAAAAGGGCCATTGCAGCAAATCAGTTAAATAAAAAAAAACTTGCTTTCTGTTTTCAGTGTGAATCAGCGTTGATTAAATTTAACTATGAAAGATCAAGTTGCTGTGTGTGATGTGGCTTTGTGTTGTGGTTTTGTACTGTCATTATAATAAGCATGAGATTCCTGCTTTAACAAAAAAATATATACAACATTAATGCACATCAACACGACAGTAACTTTTTAAAATGTATGTGCCTGTAAGAAATCATCCATAACTGGAAATCCAGTGACTGCAATAAACTCTAAAACTGTTGTCGGAACCCAATTTCACAGGACTGTGTTCTCTGGAATCCTCTCAAGCGGTGAACTTCAATGGCCCGTTTTCATTAAGTGGTACAGTACGCTTTTATGGCCGTTTCCACTGTCAAAAGGTACTAAAAAGCGAACCGTACCATACTATTTGGGTACCCTTTTGGATAGGATAACTAGCACAACAAAAGGGTACCAAAAGGAGGAGCAAGACGTGCAGCTGAACTGTATTGGTCTACAGAGATAAGTCACTCGCTCGTGAACAAGCAGGAGAATGAAAGCAAAGGAATAGCCATTTTTAAATACACACCCGAGACATTACACTATAATAATTTATACACATAATTACGAGCCATGGTCGACCCGAGCTTAAACAAATCTTGTTGTCGTCTTGATAAACAGCCAAAAGGCAAGAAGAAGAGCTGAATCTATCCTGTGCCCCGTATTTGTTAACCGTCTAAAGCGCGAGCGGTTCTATATTTGAGCCACACATCTACATTTGAAATAACAAACTTCTTGAGCTGATGATAATAACATGCATGTGATTATTGAAGTGCTTCTGACATCAGACGATCCTTTCAGAAAAGGACGAACGCCAGAGTGAAACAAAAAACAAAGGAGAAGCAGAAAAAAAAAACTAAGCAACTGATTGTTTCAGCAACCAAAAACATAAACAAAATGTTATTGCTTTGCTTAGACCATACTTTGACATTTCCTTGATTAAAAATGACGTTGACTGACAATTTCTGTCATACACCACACCCACCAAAAGGGCACCAATGGCAGTGGAAACGCAAGCTTGAAAAAAGGTGACCATAGCGACCCATACCGTACTGTACCACTCAGTGGAAACGGGCATCATAGCTCATTACCATAAAGCTGACTTGATTTCAACTTTCCTCGCGGCCACACTGGAAAAGTCCTCCTCACTGTTTATTGCCACCGGCTCCCATTGTAAAAAAAAAAAAAAAAGACTTCCAGCTACTTTGCTCTCGCCGCTTTTAATGTGAACGCACAGCGAGTCAAATGAGTGTACTCTGGGCCATTGTTTGAGGCTGAAGTCCTTCCAAAGATGAAAACGAAAAACAGGACGTAATGACTTCAAGCAGAGGGTGAGGTGTGTGTTTGCATTTGGAATTTTTACAGACACTGAAATATACAGTAATTTTACAGATCACATCCTTAGATCAAAGCCAGCCCCTCCCCCTCTGTCTCTCCCGTTTTACCAGCGTTCACCTTTCTTTTGCATATGTAGAATTCCTTCGCCTGACCCTTTCCTACCGACAATTCCTCAAGCCAGACAAAAGCTGAGGGAGAAAACAGGATACAGCTGTGGAATTATGGTGCCCGTGTTAATTCCCCAACATCTTTACATGTTGGTAGCCCTCAAGAACTGTAGTTGCAAGTCAAGATTGTGCCTCTAATTGATATAATAATTTCATCACATTTGGGCTTAAATCAACTAAACATAATTGCTACTCTGCTTATAGATATGATCAAGGTTTACAATTTCAATCAAGTAATGTTTTAAACAATCGAACATTGTCAATCTGACAGTCTGGCAAGAACTCGTAACCATAATTTATTTGTATGACACAACACTCAAGATCCTCAGGACATTTCACAGAGCGGTTACAGCCAACAGAGGTCTTCAAATGATCCGATTTATTGGGAAATCTCGGTGGACTTGCGTGCACTATTGAAGCATGTGTGGAAGATGCAAGATTGTGCTTGTTTGAGCCTCAAACTACGCATCTGTGCGAGTTTCCCTGCTCTGGAATGCTTTGGAAGCTCAGGTAATGATTCTTGGGTAAGCAACACATCCAGCCAATATATCTGTCAAAAATTATGAGCCCCTGCTTAGTGTGGTTAAAAATATCAAACCTAACGCATACCTCCAACCCACTAAATGCCAACATGAAAACTGACAACTTTCACAGTAAATACACATAACAAGGTCCTTAAATAACCCTATTCGGGACCGATAAACCCTGACACGCCAAAACAAATTCACCCCTGACATGTTGTAAATTCATCACGGGGAAGCTTCAACACTTTCATCTTATCGTCAAGGATCAGGCTTCATCACCTATAAATGAAGTCATCCACTAAAGTGCTAACAACTCTCTACAGCCACTACGAGAAAAAAAAAAAAAGATAAAAAATGGAACCCAGAAAGGTTACAGCAGCCAGCAACAGTGAATCATATTGGGTTTACAGACGAATACTCACTGTTCTGAGTGGAGTTATCCCAGTCCCAAGCTTCAAGGATGAGTGTGTAGGATCGCTAAGAGAGAAAGAGAGAGAATAACATTAGGAGAAAATACATAACAATACATTTTGTACTTCTTAGGCATCTTCTTGAAAGTGAGATGGTTCATCTCAAGGGGCTATCCCATTCAATCAATTCAAATTCAATAAATTCAATAACAATTCTGAAAACACAACAAGTAGACTTACACCTTATGTACTTTTAATTTCGGAAAAAAAAATTGTAAGAATGTAAAAGTGCTGTTAACATTACTCATGAATCTATTTTGGGAAAATGTCCAGGTGGTGTGCACGCGCGCACACACACAAACCCATACATAGTTCAATATATTGCACATTACTATGAGGAGTTGTTGTGGTTCTAATTGATACATTGGGCATTCTCGTGTGTTCATTCGGTAGAGGTGGGAAACAAAAAATTAATTGATGCATTTCGATTCTTTCTCGCAATTATGAAGCAATTCTCAAAAGTTCTGAATAAATTCTGTATTCAAACTAAATCACAATGGTGCTGGCCTGCATTGGTGCGAGCTACAGAAACATACAGTAAGTGTTGACAGGCGCATAAACATGTTGCCAAACTCACTTCATTTGGACAAACCTATGGGATGTTTAAGATGTGGCACGGCAAAGCGTTTCTCGTCCAGTGTCTGTTGTTCAAATTACAGGCAGCATGGCAAAACGAGAACAAGTGTCTTTAGATGAAGTGCATGCAGTGGTTCCCGTAGATCTTTCAAATCATGACAGAAAACAGACAGTGTGGCAATAATGTGATGCATGGACACCAACTACCATACTGTATATGCAGAAGCATGCAAGAAGACTTTTAATTTGTCAGTAACCTTGGACAAACGCTTCTGGTGAACTGTATGTCACTACAAAATTGGCACGTTTAAGGTCTGTTTTATACAAAAAATAAAATAAAATCAACGATCTTCACTGCCTAAATGATATACGCCAGAAAGTTGGTCAAACACTGCATTAAATTACATAAATGTAATATTAAATTACATTTTCCGTGCCATGTCTTTAAAATATAAAAAATTTATTTTACTCCATTTTCAATTTTCATTTTCAATGACTTGTCATCTCAGTTTACGCTTCAACAACTAAATGAACGCTGAAGTCTATTTAACATTGTATTTGAAGTACATTACAACATTGCTACTGTAAAAGGAACTGTATCAAATTTTAAAAGTTACATTAACTGTTCACCGGAAGCTTATCGGAATGGGAAGAAACAATAGCTCTGCATATAACCTATAGAACTGTATATCACTCATGGCTTGTGTCTTGCCAATGCGGACGGTGAATGAAAATGAAAGTGTCGCAAATGAATGAAGCATTGTGTCCTACTTTGTTTTAACTAGTTCTCTGTGGCTCTGACCTAAAAGCAATTCCAATATAATCTATACATAAATAAACAAATTTTATTTTAACAAACACTTTTTTGCATTTCTTTGAAATTGAATAAAGGTTATAAACAAGTTAAAACCTATACAATGCTTTATTTTTGATATAAGAGCTGCTCTTTATTATCTGGCATTTTAATATTAAGAGCTTGTTCAAGCTGAATAGAACCTTGTTGATAAAATGAATCTTTTTTTAGTATGGGAGTGCTGTCACACTTAGATTGCAATCAAAAACAAAATCATTGCAACACCAATTCTGGTCAAAATGTGAAGTCTGCAAGATATATTTATGCAGCAGAAGGAATAGGAAAATGTGTAAATTAAGAATAGTCTTGGAATCAAATCACGACTCCCAGAATCAGATTGGATTGTGCAGTCCCAAAAGAATCTTACCCCTATTTTCAGGGTATTCTAGGTGGTTGGTAACTGACCCAGGTTGACAGATATGGGTCAGGTAGCTCCTCCAAATGTACATGACCTGTTTTATAGGCTCAAGGTGAAATAGGACATAGAAACGGCACACCTCCGCTAAACAATCCAAAAAGAAAAAATGGTGGCAGACACTTTAAGTAGTGTTATCGCACTCTGGAATTAAGGTGTCTGTTAAATGTAAATAAAATACTCAGTAAGAGTTTTATTCAAGCCCTTGACCAAGTATGAGCAATAGAAATAGTGATGTTTGCCTAAGCAAGCAGAGCTAATGAAATGACAGAGATGCTAAAGCTCCATTACAGTCCTCTCTAATGACAGCGGGCAGTGTTTCAGTTGAGTAAGGTTAGGTTACCCATGTGATGGAGGGAGAGATTTCCAGCCGCACCTTGAATGCTCAAACTAAATCTGGAAACATTCTTAATGCTCCTCTGACATCCGAGAGACCATCTAGATTAACTTTGATTGGTATAGACTGTTTATGCACACTTACACGCTATAAAAATTCCATAGTTTATTATTAAAATATTAAACTGAAGTAAATTAAGATTATGAGCCATTATGAAACTTCATTAAACTGAAAAACAGCTTGTATATCTTAAAAAGCAGAGCTGCACAATACATTGTTTCAGCATTGATATTTAAATGTCAGAGTATGCAATAGTCACATCACAGGATCTGCAACATCACGTTAGGATTATAATAACCAGTTAGAACAGTTGAGACCTATTCGAGTTCAGACCTAATGGTTTCACAGTTCAAAACTATTAGAGTAAAAGAATTTAATTTGGGTGACATGGGGGTGCAGTGGTAGCACGATCACCTCACAGCATGAAAGTCGCTGATTTGAGCCTTGGGTGGGTCAGTTTGCAGTTCTGTGTGGTTTGCATCTTCTCCCTGTCTTTGCGTTGGCTTCCTCTGGGTGCTCCGGTTTCCCCCACAGTCTAAAGACGTGCTGTTCATGATTAGGGTATGCTAAGTTGTCTGTAGTGTATGTTGGGCTGCTCGATTATGGAAAAAATCATAATCACAATTATTTTGGTCATAATTGTATTCACAATTATTCAAAACGATTATCAGTTGAAGTCAAAATTATTCGCCCTTCTGTGAATTTTTTTTATATATAAATATTTCCAAATGATGTTTAACAGATGTTTTTTTACAGTATTTCCTATAATACACACACACACACACACACAACAGCACATGCTCTTTCGTGCTTTTAAAAATATGAATGAAAGTGTATGGATGTTTCCCAGTGATGGGTTGCAGCTGGAAGGGCATCCGCTGGGCAAAACATTTGCTGAATAAGTTGGTGGTTCATTCCGCTGTGGCGACCTCAGATTAATAAAAGTACTAAACAGAAAAGAAAATTAATGAATGATTTTTATTTGCATGTGTTTTTAAGATCTGGGAATGTGTAAGATTTTAAGCAAATTTAAACCAAGTTGTACATCTTTGAAAATCTTTAGCAAAGAACAATTGCATTGAATTAGTTTTACAGAAGAAACACTGTAGAGTGTTTATTTACACATGATGATTGAATTTATGTTTGACTCAGAAAATTATAAAGCTTGGTTCATTTAATCTGTATATTTGTTCAATAGTATTCATCTATGCATGTGATTTCTTTATTACATTTTATGCCAATTTTCTCCTACAACTTATCCCCAAAATATTCCCAATCAATCTAAAATTGTGAATTCTTTCTAAATGGAGTCATCTTGTGAAGTTATTTTCATATCACAATATATTGCAGAAAAACAAAGCAATAAATGTAATAACTAAGTTTATTAAGGTAGAATTAACACACAAATATGCTGTCATGACTTAATAGTGCAAACATCAACTCAGCAGCCTTATATATATATTTTTTTTAATTTGTTTTGGTCCAAGTGAAAGATGAAAGTGTACTAAATGTATGTCTCTTGTCATCAATGTTTATTTTTGAATACAGACTGATAATTTGTGCTCTTGTGCAACAAAAAATGCATGTTTGTCTGCCAATGTCAACACTTTAGGACACGTCCAGTCACAAAACAAATTAGTTATAACATTATGAGACAGAATAGGGACCTAACCTAATTTTCTTAAGGCTGACCATACTTCTGCGTCTAGTGACCCACGGGACCTTGCGCTTAGTCGTGCATTTATACTTCTGCATGCGGTTTGTGTTGCTCTGCAATAACACTTCCGATTAGCTAGCTGGCAGTAGGTTTTTATATTCCTCTGTGTCGAGCTTCTTTGCAGGTATTTTGTTTTTTCCGAACGCTACAAGTAGCTCAAACTCCCTCATTGAGAGGCAGGAACTGGCGGACGTGCAACAACTTTATTTATGAGGTAAACCCTAAACAAAAAGTTTCCATCTAGAGCTCCTTCACGAGACTTGACACTTGTAAATACTCTCTCAATCAAGCTTGCAGCTCTCAGCACCACCTACACTCGTCTGCACTACCAAGCCGACCAATCACAGAGCGTGCGCTAGGCAATATTGCAATGTATAGGCCACGTTTACACTAACAGTTAAATGTGACCCAACTCCATTTTATTTTTGCTCATATGTGACACAGATCAGATCTGTTTTATGACAGTGTAAACACGAAAAAAAAAAACACAAGCATTCGGTTATTCAGATATCGGTTTCAGGCCTCCATCACATGTGGAAATAAATCGGATATAAAAATCGGGTATGTGACTATCATGTAAATAGTTCAGACTTATTGGGGCATTCCGTTATGCATGTCATTAAACTTGCGACATTGTGGTACTCGTCCACAGTTTATTGATGTGGAAGGAAGTGCGTGTGTGGAGACACCGACTCGGTAAACAAGAACACTAGAGGAACCATGTAGAAAGAAAGTGGTCAGTTACCACAATTTGCTCCCACCAGACTTGAGATCTCTCTCGTACCCACAAATTCCTATGAATGGTGAAGGACACCAAGGACTAGTGTGGAGCAGATGCTAGAACCCGACTTTACGCATGCGCAACGTCGTACATTGTATGGCAAGTGTAAATACATTAATCAGATATGGCTCACAATTAAAGAAGGTAGAAACAGACAAGCAAAATGATCAGATATAGGCAACAAATCGGAATTTGGGCCGTAGTTACTTTTTTTGAGAGGTGGCGAAGGCTATACGACCGCGCAAAAGGCACGTGCGCTTGATGCAGA